GAACAGGTTTTTACCCAGGATGTCTCTGTGGATTCAATTTTCAATCTATCCTGACTCTCAATGTTCCTGCTGGTGAAAACATCTCCACAGCATGATGCTGCCACCACTATGCTTTACTGTAGGTATATTACTGGCCTGGTGATGAGTGATGCCACTCAACCGCTTGTATCTTGGATACAAGCGGTTGAGTTGCCCTTTTGCAACTGTCCTTTGAAAACAATGTATTTTTTTAAATATTTTGTTTAATGTCTCATGCTCCTGACCTTTGTCTGGTTTTAAGGCAGCTTGTGAGGGTCCGTTTCATATTTCTATCCCTTGTTCATCTCTTACATCTCATTCTTCATAGCAGTTTTACTTTAAAATCATTATCTCTAAATTGTTTAACCTTTTGCTCCTACAGCTTTAGAGTCAACAAGGAAATATTTTCCTTCCTCTTCTTTCTGAAAGTCTCTCAGGAGAACTGCTTTCATATTAAATCATGTTGTAACCCATAATCAGATAATGTGTGTTGGTTTACATCCAAGCTGAAATGAAAACTTTGTTATAATATTTTTCTGTTGTTTGTGTTTTTAATGTTGTATAAATGTGCAAAGCCTTCAGGTCTGATGGGTTTTATGTGTTTTAATAAAAGGAAGCAGAAAAATGGCCTCCAGGACAGGAAAAGGCTGCCCTCTACTGACTGTTCTCTGCTCTCTGGACCATAACAAACAATGGCCATAAAAACCAGATTTACTTTGAAAAGTTTTAAAACAAAAGGCAGCTTCTCATCCAAATCCTTTTGGTATCTGTGTTTCTTTGAAGTTCTTTGCTGTGGAAAATATTAATTCACGCTTTCATCTCTTTTTGGGCTCCAGTGTGCTTAAAGTTTTAGGAGAGCCTGTGTTTCATCAGAAACATCTGCAGAAGCTGCTCATGTCCACACCCGTCCAATTACATCTGCACCCATCAGCTGGGACTCATGGACGTGAACTGAGATACTGAAACACATGATGCATTATGGAATAATCATGATGAGGAACTCTGGCAGATGCTGTCATCAAATGTGTAACCATTTGAATTAAACATTAATTGCATGATGAAATATGAAAAGCGGGAAGCCTCGCCTCAGATCTGCTCAACTCAGCAGGAGGATGTCAAATTAGGATGGAAACAATACACAGAAAACTGATGGTGGTCAGCTACATCCATCCATTTCATGCATAGAGAATAACAGTCTTGACCTTCAGCACAAATCTAATTCCTCTGTGTGAAGCTTTCCTCCTCTGTGTGTTGATTATAAGTTTTGTCAAGGGACACAGACTTTGGGGGGAAAGCACTTCTGATGTTCAGCCTAACTGTAAATCAGCACAAAGTTAAACGCATGTCAGGAATATTTTTATTGGGTAATTAACAAAACCCAACAACAGCTGGGATTCACATCCTGTTGTTTCTGGAGCAGAAATGATGCAACAGTGAATTAAAATACGTTTTATTTCTGATGCTGCATTTTACAGTTGAACAATTTAAATATAAAAAATTGCTTCAGGAAACAGTTTTAAACTTCTGGGGAAACACTTCAAGAAAACCAGGGCATCTGCAACATTTACGCATGAAAGACGTCTTTTCACCATCTGTTCTTTTTTTAATTTAATTTGTGCATGATTCAAATATCATATTACTTCTTCAAATTTAGGTAAATCGTAGAAACAAATAACTGGTGTATTTACAAATACTGCAATTTACTACATTTTATCTGGCATTGTGTTTTATTTTTGAACGCTAAGGAAAATTGTACAAACTATAAAAAAGACAGATTTCGTTCAGAACTTAGCAGATATTTCAGTTGCTGCATTTTAAAGCTGATTCTGGTAATTTCAAGATGCATTTTAATTCTTTGTAACCCATTCTATTGTCATTCTATAAAAGAACATCGTGCAGTTATTGCAAAGTTTTTAATACTAAGTAGCTAAAGCTGCTTGACCTACAAAATAACCCTCATGATGGCTTCCACTAGGGGGCAGCACGTGACACTGTGAAGATGATTGTTGTTAAAAGTGTGGAAAACCTTATGGCTCATAGAAATGTACATTTATAACTCATATTTCAGATTCAAATGAGTTTTATCTTGACAGTTTATCTGTAATCTGACCTGCTTAATAAGGGGTTGTTGTTTGTTTAGTTTTTTCCAGCGGGTGTGTTTTATATAAATGATAAAAACCAGTTTACCTTGAGGGATGTTAAAGTCTCCCAGAAAAGCACAGGAAACACTTCAGATAAATCTGAAAGTCTAAACATGTCAGACGTTGGGCTGGGTTGTTTGTGGGTAGTTTTATTACCTAGAGCTGCTCTCTGGAAGACTAAAGTCAGCAAACACAGAGACCACAGAGAAAAGGTCCTACTCACTCGAGATGGAACTTATATTGAAGTCTGAAAGGTTCTAGCCTTAATAATGAAGCATTTTGAATGATGCACCTGAGCTGTAACTATGGTAACGCAAGATTCCATAGCTTTACCATAGTGACAGTCTATCATAGGTGACAGACAGCGCTAGGAAGTCTGAGTCACGCCCATCTACTTCCGGACCACGGGTCCCCAGAAAAACAAAAAAATGAATGCAAGTCAACGGGGCTAAAGACGCTATTTTCTAATTCTGCTTGTTATGTGCCATGGATTTCACATATGATGTCTGTGAAGACATCATGGTCTGCGCCTGTGTCTTCCTTCATGTGTCTCCTGATGTTTCTTCATCCTCTCTAGATTCCCTTCTGTGTCTCTTAGCACCCTCATGTGTCTTTTGTCTGCATCTCAATTGTGTCTTAATGTTGTACCCTTTTAATCATTCCTCCCAGGTCAACTCCAGCCTCTTTGTCCCCAGTTCAGTGTATGTGTGTGTGAGTGAGTGCATGTGTGTGTGTGTGTGTGTGTGTGTGTGTGTGTGTGTGTGTGTGTGTGTGTGTGTGTGTGTGTGTGTGTGTGCTCCCCAACTTAGTGAGTGTGTGTGTGTGTGTGTGTGTGTGTGTGTGTGTGTATGTTATGTCCTCCTCCAGCTAGTTTGTGTGAGCCCTTCCCTGTCTTTAGATATTGTTGTTCAGTTTTGTGTTTAGGTATTTGCCCTCCTCTGTTTCTGTTTTCCCAGTTAGATTATTAGATTCACCTGTCTTCCCTCCAGCCCTCACTCCACACACCTGCTGCCATTTTCCCTAATTACTCCTCCCTGTGTATATAAGCCCCGTCTTGTCTCTGTCTTGTGTTGGTCCATTGTTTGTGATTCTGTCAGTCTCGGCCTGGTATACTAGTGTTCTTGGTCTTCTCGTGTCTCGAGTGTTTTTTGGATCTCCTGATCGCTATCTGGACTTTTGGATTTTGGCTTCCAGCCTTTGGACTTATTTTTTGTTCTCCTTAAAATAAAGGATTTTTCTTATTCATCATCTCTGCCTCGTGTCATCCTGGGTACTGCATTTTGGGTCCTACCAACACTGATTCGGGACAGAAGATGCATGGTTGCGCAGTGGTTAGCACTGTTGCCTCGCAGCACTAAGGTTGCAGGTTCGAAACTCAACTTGGCTGCGGCCTTTCTGCATGGAGTTGCATGTTCTCCCCATGCATTCTTGTGTTTCCTGTGATTTTCATCTTCATATTCACTCATTTAGACAATTTAAGCACTTACAAACCCATTTTAAGCCTTTTGAGTCAGAAAACTCTAAATAACTGCAACAAAACAGTTATTCATCCATTCACATGGATGTATCCATCCATACATGTTCAAACACAGCTTCCATCCTACTGCTAATATAGGTCACAAAAACAAACTGACGATTTTAATGACAACCACCACACTCTACTCAAAGAAAATACATTTTCAGCTGTTTTAGATGCAGTGGGTTTAAATAAAATTAAACAAAACAAAAATACATAAAATATAAAAAACGTTTTTTGTTTATTATTATTAATTTATTTTATATATATATATGTATTTTTTTTTGTTTTGTTTATGCTTGTTCTCAAAATAAACAATTTCCAAAGTCAGAGAACTCAAACAGAGGCTCCTGGGGTAGGAATTCTGTCTCAGAACGATCCCTGCCAAATCCCGAACTTAGAATACAATATGGCTGCCTCTTACTAAATGGTGATGATAAACATGTGATTTATTATGTCTGGTGGAGATAGATGCAGCCTTAAACTATTTATTTAAACTTTTGTTGGATTGTGAATTTCAGTAAATCGGTGTCAAACAGTACTTCACTATTTCTATTGGGAGAGCTGCTTGAATCCATGTTGCTTTAATTGTCTTTTACTACTTTGAGTTCCACATGATCCACGGGAAAATGAGTTAAACTGACTTAAATGACTTGTGAACTATTCAAAGTTACCTGGAAACATGAAAATATGGTGCAAAAGTCAATTTATTTCAGCAATCAAACTTAGCTGATTAGAGTGTGACACTTTGAGTCTAGCGTATTGAATATTTTCACGATATTCTAATTGTCTGTGACTTTAAATGTTGGGTTTTCATAATCTGTATAATTGTTACATTTATAACAAATAAAAGCTTGAAATACACGGATTTGCATGTAATGAGCCTACCTCACACGTTAGTTTCCTCTTTTAACTTGAATTGCTGGCATAAATGAAGTTTTGAATCATTTTCTAGTTTCACCTGATGTTTATGATGAAAGCAGTTCATTGTTTTTATGCTGTAGGACAGCAACTCTGAGGGCACACACACACACACACACACACACACACACACACACACACACACACACACACACACACACACACACACACACACACACACACACACACACACACACTTACTTTAAGGGGGAATTCCTTGTGGTGAGTGCTCAATGATGAGAAGCTTTTTCATCCGCCTGTTTTTCATTCTCCAGCTTCTGCACTAATTACAAGCCCGGGGCTGCACTTTGAGCTCTCTGCGTGCTCTTGAAAAAAAGCTGCGCGTCTGATTCTCACGAGAAAACAAAAAGGAAAGAAAAACATAAATGCGCACGCGCAGAAGGCTCGTGCCCGCCTGAGCGGCTGAACCCAGCGCTGATCTGGGACCAGTCCTGCGTGTTCTCAAGTTTAGCCCCAGCTCACCAGCGTTAGGGGACATGAGCTGGTAAAGGGTGCTTTTAGTGAAGGATGTTGGGCGTCACTGCTCCGCACAGACCGCACTGAAACTTTTGTGGAGAGGAGAGGAAGAGGAGGAAGAAGAGGAGGAGAGGTGGGGACAGGACCCCCCGCAGCCGGAGTGACTCTCAACGGAGACGATGTGAGGCTTCTTTTAGATCCGTTCCTGCTCCGAAACACCATGGCTGTGGACGGTAAGAAGCTTCTCATTTATTTTATTGTCATGAAGTCGTAGGTTTTCAGGACGGGTTGCGTTTAAGCGGAAGTTGTGTGAGGTCTTGCTGAACCAGTTCCTCGGTAAATGCTCACAGCTGACAACAAAGCGCCCGCTGTGCAGCCACTGACAGTCAAGACTGCTCTCAGTATGAGGTCAGAGCTTTCCATCAGCGGTAACAAAAACTAGGTTACATTCAATGCATGGGAAATAATGCGGTGGAGGCGCTTTCTAAACTCACAAGCGCCTGAAGGAACAAACAGGACAGAGTGGTCAGCTGGTGGACAGCGACAAGGTGCTGAAACAGCCACAACAGAAGCAGATGGGATCTGGTTTATTTGGACTGAAACCTGAGAATATTCTGTTTTGCTGATGCTAGACCTGCTGAGGTATCAGGCTCATCAGGATAGACAATTTCTGTGGCTTTTCCTGAATAAGGTGTGCCACAAGGCTCGACTTTAGGAACCTCATATTTCCCTGGGTTACCCTTCATTGTAATCTGTGCATTCTGAAGGACATTTCATCTCACTAGAAAATATTCATTACTGTATCTTTTTCACCACAAGCTGCACTGCATGGTAGCTGAGTTGGTAGCACTGTTGCCTTGAAGCAAAGCATTGCATGTTCTCACCATGCATGGTACAGGACAAAAATATGCATGTTGGTTTAAAAGAGCAGAAGATTGCAAACATTCTCCTTGTTGTTTTTGAAGAAAACAGCTTGGGTGGTCAAATGTAGCATACCAAAAAGTCTAAGCCATGTGTGACCTGCTTTCTGTGAAAATTAGACGTAAAAAAACGTGAGAGAACTTCTGTTCAGAGCAAGGTTGTGATAACACCTCACATGATAGCCACTTCTGTTGTGTCTACATGTTCCAATCCACGTCAACATCAGCAATATTTAAATACTGGGTGCAGTAAAGCTACCGCAGAGCCACGGTAAGCCAAGCCTCTGTTAGCCCCAGCCTGAGCTGTTAGCTTCAGCTTCTAGCAACAGCCTTGTTGAAAGAGAAAAACAAGTAATCCCCACTCAGGTTCCAGGACACACGGGTACTATCCAGACTATAAACAAATGCCAAATAGATCCAGTCCTTCCTTGTTTGTCTGCAACCTTCTACAAGCAGCCGGTCTTTGCCGCTCAGACGGTCAGTTTCCGTTTTTATTTTTCTATTCTACAAAGCCTTCTATGATAGGCTGAATCTCAATGAATAGAAGTCCTTATCTGTGTCTCCTATAAGATTTGTGCTCAAGACATACTTATTAAATCTTCTCTAAGGGGCCTGACAAAAAGCTCACCTTGAAATCTAGACCAACCATAGCAGTAGCAAAGATTTTATTTTGCAGGTCCGTCTAGCCATGCTCCATTATAACTTCAGCAGGTCTACCATTACCCCAAACTATTTATGTTGGGCCAATCACGGTTGTGATTCCCTCCAAGCAACACAGACGCAAGTGATTTATTTTACGGGTTTATTGGACGTCCTTTTGTTGTGGACCTCTTCTGTGCTCTTTACCTTAGACCTCCCTTAAACCGTGAAACTAAATATACAGGATATTACAATTAAAACATGTACAATAATGTGCAACAAAATAAAGACAAATAAATACCTCGTTGGCTGTTTTGCTTAAAACACAAAGGGAATCCATCTGTCTTCCTTTTAGTCCTTTCATTAGTTATTCCTTTGGCAATGAATTGGATCTCAGTCCGTTCTTAGCTAGCTGCTTGCCAGCACTTCATCCAGGTTCTGTCTGTTCCTCACACCTGGCTTGTGTTCATCAATTAAGGGTGTGGCTGGCAGAGCAGCTCATGTAGCTTTTCAAAATAAAATTACAGGAAACACAACCAACCCAGTGTCTTACAAATGGGAAAATAAATAAATGAAGAAATAAACAGCAACAGCAGTTACAACAGTGCTCTATGTTTTCAGAGAGATGTTGGGCAGGCTAAGCATCAGAGCTGCAATGGAGAATAAACTACAAAGATGGTGTTGACTCAGGAACATTGCTCATTTTAAACAGATCTGGAGTCAACCATTGGACAAATTAGATTTAAGCTTTTCTTTGAGACATGAGCAGATATAAGCAGAAAAGTTGTTTACTTGAAAAAGGATGTATTTGCTTCTTATTGTTTTTCTATTGTGTATGGTAGACAGTAGTGAGGAGGTAGAGCAGGTTGTCCAGTAATCGGAAGATTTTAGGTTTGGTCCCGGCTCCTGCAAGAGAATGCTGCTGTTGTGTCCTTGGGCAAGACACTTAACCCGCTGGTGGTGGTTGAAGGGACTGCCGGTGTTGGTGGCGTCACTTCCTTTTATCCGTGGGCAGCAGAGGACGATGTTGCCCTCTATTGATGACACACAAGAGCAGCAAAGCAAGAAACAGAAAGTACAATCACAGTACAATAAAGAAATCAGGCATAACAGACCGCTGCACACAGGAGAACCATGTAATGGACTGGGACAGAACAAGGATCATAAACACAGAGCAACTGAAGTACAAAGATGGATCAAAGAAGCAATAGACAAAGGAGACGTGGACACAAAACCATGAACAGAGACGATGGAGAATTCACGTTGGATCACGCGTGGGACAGTGTCATCAGCAAGGAGGTCACGGGCAGAAGAGGGCGACATCGTCTTCTGCTGCCAGCGGATAAACGGAAGTGACGCCACCAACACCGGGGAACACTGATGATGGCTAAAATCGCTAGCCGAAACATGTAAGCTAAAAAAAACTATGTTTTTAATAAGTTGTGTATAAAAAGAACAAAGTAATAGAATGTGTTATGTTGTTGGTTCAATAGCGTGTGGAGACAGTTTGAAAGACAACTGTAGATTTTGCCTCTCAACTTTGCTCTGTCTATGGGTCGTGGCCCGACTATACACCCTCAGGATGGCTAGCCAGGCAAACAAAAAACTACAGACTGAGCAGAATGTCCAACATCACTAATAAGTCCTCCATGTGTTGTTTTTGTGTCACATTCAGACCACCTCACAACACTACTTTAGTGTCAGGTACACATCTCCACACACTTTGTGTAGGGCTGCTGCCCTGCTAGGGTGAGCCCACCTGCTACAGCCATTTCTCTGTGGTAATGGGAAAACCACTCACAGCAGAGCCAGTTCGAGCCTCGTTGAGTAGTAGAAATGCCCCGTTGGTCCCCACTCCCTTACCAGCGGCACATCATGGCTGTAACACACACATAAGAGAGCCAGCAGTACACCCGTGTGGCCCCAGCCGGTTCCTGATGTCACATGATCAGGACCTACTCATCACACATCTGACAAATAAAGGTCTCTAAGTTCAGATGCTCTCCCTCTGAGTTTTAAAGCTCAACTTTTTTAATTACTTCTGATTGGTTTGGTTTTACTGTTTCTGTTTTGCTGTGAATTCATTTATCTTGGAAGATAGATTTTCACTGTATTTACAGACTTTTATGAGTGCCACAGCATTTCATTTCAAAGTGAACCAATCAGAACTTTAATTTGCTGCACAAATTTAACCAAATTAGGCATTCAGCCCTAGGTCTGCACCTTAAAATAGTTCAATTTGTTTTTGCATCATATAAAAAAGGTCTTTGTTTCTTTACGGGCAGTTTAGATAATGAAAGTTGTATTTTTTTTTCTCAACAAGATCAAATCAAAAGCAAACAAGACTCTGACAAGTGGCTTTAATTAGGTGTTTAAACTGGTGAAAGGGGATTATTAGTTTTTACAGCAGCGTGGAAGCACCATGTAGCACTGTGTTCTCCTGCAAAACTTCAAAGAAACAAAAAGGACACACATAGTTTTATTCATGATAACCTGATGATGCTCAGATGCCTTAATGATGGCTGGTCTCCGTCTGGCTCAGCTTCTCAGCGGGAGCTATCGAATGACATGGAGGAGAGATACAAGGCTAAAAACACTCTTTCATCTGCTCAGTAACTACTTCCCCCCTGACAATGTCTCTCCTGCTCCCCTTCTTTCAGATTTCCCTCATCAACTTGAGATATTGAAAAAACCCATTAGCACACAAACACAGCTACACACATAAAAAATCTGTTTAAAAGAAATCCTTCCAATCTGGCTCATGAATGTGTAATGGCCAGTGGATTTCTGCCAAAGTCAGTGCCAGTAACAGTGTGTTTACTGTAGTTCCTCACTCCTTTAATTACTTTCTGTTGAGAAACCACCTGCTGTTCAGAGGGCTTGGATGTCTGCCTGCAGGCTCGCTCATGACCGTGAGAAACTGGCTTGTCTCACCACTCTGACATCTGCTTCTCACCAGCTAACGGTCCTACCTGAGCTGCAGGGTCTGCTCTGTGTTATTGGAATGGGTCAGAGCCGCTTTGTTCATAATGACATCGGCTTTGGGTGTCAGAGTGCTTGTGTCCAGCCTTTTGAGTCTAGGACGCTTTTGGAGGACATGTCCTATGCAGCTTTTTGTTTGTCTCCCCAGCTGCATCCAGTTTCAGTTTCTGCAGACCAGCTGTGGAGTACAGGGCTCTGCCTGAGGACATCAAGCACCAGCTGAGTCGACGGACAGGTGGGAACCTAACTTGGCACGAAGGACGTGGACAGAAGACAGCAGGAGGAAGAACAGTGAAGCTCCTGCAGCAGCCAGGCTCAGAGGCCTTTCAGGTATTGAGTGTGACTTCAACAGTTCAAACAGCACACTGCTTCATGGTGGGATTATTTTATCTTCTCTTTCAGAAAGGGGAGATACATTTCTGCTTCTTTAAGCAAAATCAGGCTGGGTGGAGTAGAAGGGGAACTAAAACTCACTTGGATCTGGCATGTGAGTAGAGGTAGTTATGGAGTCAGAGGCAGAAGATTGACACCTCACATGATAGCCACTTCTGTTGTGTCTACATGTTCCAATCCACAACAAGTTTTTGAGAGATCTATGAGCACATATCTGTCTCTTTGTGGTCTGTAGAGAAACTCCATGTTTGGGGGATGGGGGAGGGGTACCACCGAGGCTGAACAACACCAGAGGAGGAATGGAAACACCTTACAATGAAAACACCTTGCAAAACAGCCCACTAAATAACCACACGTCCAATCAAGCAGTCTTTTACAGTCAGTTCAGTGGATCGAAACACTGTTTCTCTCCTCTCCATAGAAGTGAGGAGAAAGTGAATGAAGCTAGAAAAGAGTTGCAATCATAACATCTGTAATAGTTTAATTAAATTGAGGGAAGAAATGAACAGCTTTAGACCACTGTGTCACGTTGTGGTTTGGAGGAGTTGGACCCAATGTGCAGATACCCAGAACGACACGAGGCAGGAGAGGATGCAAAGGAAAACGTTCTTTATTAAGAATGACGTAGCCAAAAAACCTAGAAACCTATGAGGGCATGAAGCCAGAAACCTAGAGCTCGTGGTGGGGGAGGGGGACGACAACAAACAACGCTGACAAGGACAATGGACCAACAACACATTGAGAAGCAGACAGGGTTTTACACACAGGGGCAGGATGATTGGGAGATGAGCTGCAGGTGTGTGGGGAGAGGGAAACCTGGTGAAATCTATTTACTAATCAGGGAGAGGAATCAAAGCTGAGGAGGGGAAATAAAACATAACCTATGAATAATAACCAAACCTAAAGACTAGAAGAACAAGACAAATAACTAATGATCCAAGGAGAAAGGGAGAACTAATAAACCAGTGGGGAAGGACCAAGGAAGGAACCTAGAAGAAAACCTGAACCTATGAAAACTACAGGGAAAAACTAGCTAGATAAATATAAACACAAAGAAAAACTCAAGAATGAGTGAACCTGGGAAACCTGGTGGGAGCTGGAGATAAGGGGCACAGGAAGCTAAGGGGAAAACTTAAAGGTATAGCAATCGATCTTTTACTTCCGGGTGGATCACGTCAACCATTGGTCCGCATAACTGTCAATCATTCTGGCGAAGCCTTTGCGTAAGTCTGTCGTACGTGCTCGCCCCTGGGTCAGTTTTCTCCTTGCACATGCACACTCTTTTTTTCTCAAATGGTTGCGCACTTTTATCTCAACGGGTTCCTTTACTGCCATTGATGGCAAAATTCGTCATTTGCATTTTTTTTACTGTTTGAGCATCGGAACGAGCCCCCGTGCTGAGAGAACAAACATCTCAGCCCTGAAGCCGATCTTCATCCGCATGTGTCACACGTCACGTGATCAGGAAGCAGAACATCCATGTGTTAGGAGCTCGTTTTGGGCCGTTCCTGTAAAAAAGGTGAGGCGCGAACCGGAGAAGCGTCTGCCGATCACAATTCGACAACAGATTATGAAAGAACGGATAACGCTCGAAACATGCGGATTCTTCCTGATGTAAGAGGTGAGTCTCTTCTTTGTTTTGGCGTCGACATCATCCTAGCGCGCAACACTCTGTGACTCTTAAAAAAACAGTAAAACGGTGATAAACGCTGGCAGCGAAGGCCATTAGTGATCAGGAAATGGCTGGCAGTGAATGAGTTAAGGGGAAAACCTGGAGTGGGCTGGGGAACACAAGGAGACACATGAGGAACACAAGGAGACACATGAGGGGAACCTAGGGCCGGAGAGCACATGAGGAGGGACGCAGGACGCAGACCTTGACAAACTGCCATGGGTCAAATAAAAGTAAATGCGGTTAGCTTGTGATCAGAGTCAGACGATATTCAAATTAAGTATTTCCACTTTGAAATGCAAAAATTAGAATTAGTTGCTTGTTTTTGGTGCATGAACCAAAAAGAAGCAAGCAACAAACATTTCTGGGTCTTAGATCCATTCCAGTTTCCAAATAGGAGAAATGTAATAATAGCTGATGATTAATTCTGTTTTTTGTCACTTGATGCATTTATTTTCTCTTCCTGACTAACTGATGTGATTATCTGAAATTCCTGTTTAGAGACGGGAGCTTTTAGCTCCATTTGTGACTCCAACATGTTCCACCGCCTCACAAGTAGCCTGTAAAAGCTCCGAAAACTGGTTCTATGTTTTTTCCATCAGTTTTGAAAAATGCTCCAGCACATCCCACAGTTTGTGATCAGAGATCCGTGTCTTGTGTGACTCCAGTCTCACCACAGCAGCTGTCTCGGCTCTCACTGCTGTGTAAATTATTGCCTTCCTGCAACAACTGACCATACTTCAGATGTTGGTCATTTCCCCCATTATTCCTACAATAAGTTGTCAGATTTGAACAATCTGAGCCTTTCAGTTGCAAATTCAAGCCCTTGTAGTTGGCTTCAGACATGTACCTCATTATATCAGTTACACTGCAGCTGTTTAGCATTTCCTTGTAAATCCCACCAGCTGCATGGCCTGACTGACATGTTTCTTTGTCAGGACACACGCCGTTTTGGTAAAACTGTAGAACAAGCACCATGGTAACACCAGAGGACAGATGCATGAAGTCAGTGTTGTACAAGAGAAACTTAGGCAGTAAAATACAATCAATCAGAACTCAGGATTAGACAAGACAGCAGTGTGTGCTTACTGTCAACACACACACACACACACACACACACACACACACACACACACACACACACACAAATCTAGTGTAAATCAATGCTTTACGAGTCAAAGGATAGCTATGATGCTCACGTTCTGAGATGATGATGATGATGATGATGGTGATGATGATGATGATGACGATGTTTATTATTATTATTTTTTTTTTATTATTATTAACAATCATAAAATAATAATAATAATAATACAGGTATTAATAATAATAATAATAATAATAATAATAATTATTATTATTATTATTATTATTATTAATTATTATTATTAGTCAATTTTTATTTGCAGATCATGTGGGTGATAACAACTCTAGAGTTTAAAGGCATAAAAAGACGAGTCCATCTCAAAAGATGTTATAGGTTTTGAGAATGTAATCAAGTTTAACTGACTTTCAGATATTAACATTCTTTTTTATTATTATTTTACTATTTGTTATTGCTATCAAACTGGTCTCACTGAATTTTCTATTTTGATTTACTACGTAATGTAGTTTATTTTTGCTTATTTTTGTGTTTTTCTCAGTTAGCACCAGAGAACATCCGTCAGTCACAAATTCAATCTGATTAGAGGAACTGATTAAAAATGTGTTGTCACTGTCCTTGCTGCACATTATCAGCCATTTTTATTCTGAGATGTCTACAGAAAGTCTGCTAGAAAAGCAAATTAGGTCTAGAAAATGTGTCCGGTCATCATCTTTTGTTGCAAATGGACACTTTGTTAACAAAGAATGGAAGCTGCTCTCTCCCCAGCGGGACGGTGGCTTTCACAGCCTTTCAACTCAGCTTTAAATAGTATAGGCTGTGTGTGTGTGTGTGTGTGTGTGTGTGTGTGTGTGTGTGTGTGTGTGTGTGTGTGTGTGTGTGTGTGTGTGTGTGTGTGTGTGTGTGTGTGTGTGTGTGTGTGTGTGTGTGTGTGTGTGATCGTATCCAGTCAATCACTGTTGTTACTGGATAGTGAACAAAACACTCTTTCTCATTTTCTCATGTGAAGCGCAGACACATTAATGTCCAGCAGCCACTTTGTTCCATTCTAAATGAAAGCGTCTTATTATCTGATGCAGCTCTGTCTGCTCACAGAGCCAGTGTTGTGAACAGTCCATTTCTGCTGTGAACTGGCCTCATTTAAAGCCCTTGGTTACAAGTCAGAGCCCACGGCTTTGTTTCCAGCCTGTGAAAGGAGCTGAGGCTAAAGCTGCAAACAGAACTGGGCTGGGCTGATAACAGAATCGGACGCAGCGCTTTGTTTATTCACTCTTTTCCTATATTCAGTACACATAATGTTCTGCTTGGTTCACTTTTGTCTCAAGAAACGTAAACTTTATCTGAGACTTGGGATCAGCATTTGGGATCAGTATATTTAATGCTGCCTTTTCTTTAAAAGTCATTTTATTCTCCACGCCATTTTGCTCTCTTCCACATAACCGCTGTTCGCTGTCATTCCTGTAGACTCTGAGCAACACTAATCCACAAATCTGAAGCCTTGCATTTTTTGGAAGAATATCGCCCTGTGCTTCAGAGCCAGAGTGCATCACTTAGATCATCTTCAGGTGAAAGCTGCTTTGGGTAAATATTTGAAAGAACTTTATGCACATTGCTTGTACAGTCTGTTAGCATTCAGAAAATGTGTTGTGAGCGAATTTCAGAATGAAATTATAAAGCAGGATGTGTAAAACTAACACACTTGCAGCCATTATTATGATCGTAACCAGAGGGGCTTGTCCTTGTCCTCCATTGACATTCTGGTTACGCTGGTTAGCCTATCGATCATCTGCGTTCTGGTTGATGAAAGGACTCGGACCATAGAGTTTGTTGGTTGATTTTATTACCAGATTCTGTGAAAATGAAATGAACAAAAATAGTCTTTAAAATGCAGCTTTTACACACACACACACACACACACACACACACACACACACACACACACACACACACACACACACACACACACACACACACACACACACACTATTCAGTAGTCCTCTTTTCATAGGCAGTCTTGTGCCAACTGAGAACAGTACAGAGCTGGCGTCATCGTAGAGGGCGTTCTTAAAGTGACAGTACGAAAGTTAAGGATACTAAATAAGAGGTAAACCAAAATAAGTACTGATCAATATTAATCAGGATTTGGTGAAGTTTCAAAATCATTATAAACAGAAATAAAAGCTTACTTTTCAAAATTGTTACATTAACTTTGGTTAGCTGTAACAGATATCTTGAAGCAGGTTGAGATTAAAAGTTAATCACCTCTATGTCCATTCAGTGATTCTTTTCCTGAAAGTTTCATTAAATCCAAACTGTGGTTCATGAGTTTTTTTTGCAAACAGACGAAGAGTCTGACCTTTCAGTGGTGGGCGATAATGAAAAGTAATTGTAAGGACCCGGAGTAATCAATACTCTTATTCGTTTAAAGTATAAAAGGAGAATGGTTGCTCTCTGAAACAGAAACCCGACTTTTATCTGCTGCAGCAGCAGGAAGCATTACAAGTTGGAGAGAAGCTGAACTTGCTAAATTTTTAAACCTGATTTGCTCATCAAAGGCGCCATTTGATCACTGCTCCACGGTTTTCCGTTCGGAACATCTTCAAGATTAACATCAATTAAAACCATGAAAGTCACACTGGGCTTGATTCCTCTTTCTGCAGCCATTTCTGTTGCAGAAGGTGCAGCTGCTGCCTGTTTGCTGGTTTGCTGTGTGTTTGATGTGCTCCCACATAAACCCATGCTTGTTGTGTGTGTGTGTGTGTGTGTGTGTGTGTGTGTGTGTGTGTGTGTGTGTGTGTGTGTGTGTGTGTGTGTGTGTGTGTGTGTGTGTGTGTGTGTGTGTGTGTGTGCTGTAATGAGTTAGAGGCCTGCTCTCGTTATCATGTCAGACTCATCTTGTCACTTCTTTCTGTGTCCTCATCTTAACAACAGCATGAGCACCTGTGTGCAGCAGCGTTAGGCACTAATGAATCAGCGTTTGATCATTGAGGCAGATGTTTATTAAATATTCTGTTGGTGCAGAGATTTCACTTCCCAAGCAGGGCAGAGAAAAAAAGCTGGTGTTTATGGATCTGAACACATTACATCAAGGATGTGATGCCACATGGCACCGAATAACATAAAAGGGTAAAAGCTATGTGAGAGCGCTTTCATTCATCTACTTTTTACTAAATCTACACCAAGTGTGGTTTTTCTAGTTACATTTTAACAAGATTTAATCCCGCAGTTAACTAATACTGTTATAATGATATAATATAATCATGCAATAGGTGGGAACTGTGATTTAGTGATGCTTAAAGTGAGAGTATGGTGGCAGTTCTAGTGTTAAAAGTGTGCAAAGTGATTTTTCCCCTTTTCTGCATGAACACAATATTAAAATGTCTGGCATTCATTCTGGCAGATGAAAAATAAATAGATAACCTAATAGGACTGTGCAATAAATGATGTTTGTGCAAAAAGTAGTGAAGTCAAAATTTGTTCATTTCGACTTTAGAGTGGACATATGATTTAAAAATTGCCATTTGCAGCCTTTTGTGCTGCCATGTGGGTCTCTACTGCCCCTGACTCCCTCTGCTGCTGGAGAAGCAGCACCTCTGCTCCGAGTACTTAGCTTTACTCTGAAGGTCTCCAGTCCTCACAGGCACAGAATCAGCACTAGGGAAAGCTGGACAGTTCTCAATAATTATAGACCATTTTACAATTACCTGCCTAGATCAGATTAAGAGTCTTTGTGTCATTCAATTCAAATTCAAACTGAAAATATTTCAACAGTCCCTGAGGGAAATTAAATGTTTTGTAACTCATTCTTGCAGACAATGATAAAAAGATTTAAATGACAGTGAAAAAAATGATCTCATATTAGTTTATGTTTTTCAAAGTGTTGTTATAGTTGGTCTGCTGCTGAAGCCTGTAGATAAACTTCAGCTGGTCTAAAACTCTTGCTGCTCGTGTCATGATGAAGCACCCTCCTCTAATCAAGTCACCTCTTTTATCCAGCAGCTTCGTTAACTACTGATCAACTTCAGGATCAATTATAAAATATTACTTCTCACATATGAGGCCATTTCATGGCCTTTCCCCATCATACATCTAACAGTCCTGTGTCTGCATCCTCCTGCATGCCCAGATCCTCAGCTTCCACCAGCCTGAACAGTCCCCCTGCTCGACTGGTCACCTAGGACCGGTCCTCTGCTCCATCTCGGTGGTATTCCTTATCAGCTAAATTTAGGAATGCCATTCTCTTCAACATTTCAAAGCTAAACTCGAAACCCACCTGTTCAAGATGGCCTACTCATTGTAATTCATTGTAATTCAGTATTTTATTCTTGTTTTACATTTGCTATTCATTAACTGTATTTGTTTTTCACTGTTGTGCTTGTTTTTAATGTTTTGAGTCCCTTTACTGAAAGGTGACCATGATTTTTTTTAGAAAGGAGCCTAAACTAAAATGTATTATTAATATTTTATTATTAGGTTAGAACAAATAAAGATGGCAGAAGGAGGGCAAAACCCAACAAAGATTTTACTGTATTGACCCAAATAAAGGACGAACCCCCTTTCCAAAGTTAATCTTTGGGAAAAGACAAAAAAAAAACACTTTTGAAATGAACTATTTTTATTGAAAATACTGAACAAATACTGAGCAAAATTACTATTTTAATGAAAACCATCAGAGCTTTGCTGACATGTGAATTCAAAAATGAGGTTTTTATTTAGACAAACTCTGCATCACTGTACTCACTCATGCTGCTGCGGTCCAGGTGTACCATCAGATCGCTACACCTGCCAGCTCCTCCCATTGAACGTCATCCTCACTGCCAATGCATCCATGCATGCAATATTTGACGCCTCTGCTGATCGTCAACTCAAAATTTGCATAACTCTGCCTTGGTAGCTTGTTCACTTGCCCCACATTCGGCCCACACTGTTCCGGACCTCTCGTCTGTTCTGACTTTCCGTGCTTACTCGTTGAATATTCCTACCGCAGCGTGTTACAACAGCTTCAGTCTCGTTTACAGTATAATAACATGCTTATTAAGCATGGTTGGTTTTAAATAGATGATATTACGCAAAAATACAGAACTGTATTATAACAGCAAAAATATACAGTGTTAGTCGTGATTTTATTTCTTAAAAAGACCGTGTTTGTCATGATTCAATGAATGACGGTAAACAATGGGAGAAAATTCTTCTTTACAGTATAATAACGGTATTTTATAAGCTATCAACAAGCTAACTTTCAGGTAAACATGCAACAAGCAGTAATATAACAACTTCCAGAGTTAGCACGTCTCCTCAGGTAAACAGCCTGTGACAGTAATCCGTATGCGCATGCGCATTTCCCCAAAGTATCATGACGAGTAGCACGGATAGTCGGAACACCGGTCGAGTAATGACCCCAGACAAATATCAGCATGTGTGAATGCTTTGACCCTGATTATATGACGACCCCACAATTTTAAAATGATTTTCATGAAAAAAATCTCGTCCTGTATTTGGGTCAGTACAGCGTTTCAGAGAGCTCTTTTGTTTTTTAAATATCAATGCTCTTGAAGAAAACACGTTTTTTTGTTTTTGTCACATCAGCTCCTGCAGCAGCTCCCCTCTGCTTCTAAAACAGTGCTGTACCTCCACGTTTTCATGTGACTGAAGGAGGATGTGGAAAATGAAATGTAATTAGCCGGTGTCTGCATGTACTGTAAACTGTCCGAATGAATTTTACTGCACCTCTTCATAAAGAACAGTTTTAACTCTGCAACACTGGTGGGAGTTCCTCTGATGAACTGTGATGTTGAATAGTAAAAGTTGTTCTAAACTAAACTTTTAGATTCTTGTAACATTTCTGTTGGTCTTGTTATTCTGCAGTACCGCTCCTGTGACTACTATGGAATATACCACACAAGCCCGACCCAGCCCAGCCTGATCCGACCTGTCGTGCTTTGGACGCAACAGGATGTCTGCAAATGGCTGAAGAAACACTGTCCACACAACTACCTGACCTACGTGGAGGCGTTCTCCCAGCATGCCATCACAGGTAAACCCACATGAGGAAATAAAAACAAGTAGAGAAGACGAAAAAGAGTTTCTGACCTCTGTGTTCTCTCTACAGGCCGTGCATTGTTGCGCCTAAATGGGGAGAAGCTGGAGAGGATGGGTTTAGTACAAGAGACTCTTCGGCAAGAGCTACTGCAACAGGTGCTGCAGCTGCAGGTGCAGGAGGAGGGGCGCAACCTCCAGCTGCTCAGCAGAGGTGAGGGGTGATATCTGACTCAAGTTGTTCTAGGGTGGGAATGCAGAAATGTTTGCAGCATTTGCTGCAGAGTCCTTGCGTAGTTAGTTCCTGAATCAAAGCATTTACTGCAGCGTGTTCTCTTCTCTGCTGACCTGTTTATGTCTGCACTCACTTGTTGCTACTGTGGCAAAAATACGTGGCATCAACAAAAAAATAAATAAGAAAAATAAAAACTGCAGATGAGTAGCTACATGCAGTGCAAAAAACATTGCAATTTCCTTTTTGTTCTCTTTGTATCTTGTCTCCTGTGGGACTGAGATATCTCCCCCTAAATGTCCTTGCTCTGGTGTCCAGCTGTGAGAGCTTGTCTCCAGCACAGAATCTCCTGCTGTGACGAACACGAACGAACCACATCTGCCGGAAAAGTCTAAACCAAAACAGCTTTCCACTCTGACATTTTAAGAACTGTTTGATCAGGTGTTTCAAAAAAGCAGGCAGGATAGCACTTCAAATGGTGGATGTGGTTCCTAAACAAGAAGGTTGCCCATCATACAGCCAAGGCCCAGAGTCCTGAGAAAAACAACAACTTATTTTTAATTGTTACTGAGTTTGCTGTCTCCGTTTTTGTGATGGATAACTGCATAAACTCCAGGATGTTCCACAGAGTGATCAGATAAAAAGTTCTTCTTTGCCATGAAAGTGAAGAACGGTACCTAAACATCCTCCCAGAGGAACTATTTATCTTTTTCTGGCATAAAACAATCAGGCAAACAGCTGTGCCTACAGCTTCACTGCCCTGAAAGCTCTTGTACTTAAAAATATTCAGATCCTTTGGCCTCAAATTAGCTGAAAATGAATGCTGGAACAAAAAAAAAAAACATGTGAGAACAACAGAAAGTTGTGTCTTCTATTTGTGTGTATAGTTTGACATTTAACAATATTTTGACATTTTAGGCTGTTTTCTGACTACTATGTTCAGGGAGGCTGCATTGGTTGCCTGGCAACAGCACACACAAATCCTGATTCACAGCAAATGGTTGTTTTCATACACTGGAGTTGGCAAACAAGGTGTGACTGTTTGGAGGATTTAGTTACTTTTGTGCTGTTTCCAGTCAGTGGACTGAAACAACCAGCTGAGGGCTGCAGCCTCCAGCCAGGAGATGATCTCTGATATTTAAATGCATCGATACTGTGATAATTTGGGATCCTTTTGCTTTTTTCAGGTTCTTTTGGGAAGATATCTTAGCTGGAAGGAAATGGACACTGTGGGATATCAGGATGAACTCATAAAAACTCAAATGTGGGACAAATACATCAGCCAGCTGTGATCTCCAGAGTGATGTTGTCAACCGGACTTTGGCAGCGTTCTGTTCCATATGATAAATTATCTTTTTACGGACTGTGAACTGTGATGGGATAAAAAGCAAGATGACAATCTTCATCAGTGTTTTGCACAGTTGTATGCTTGGTTAATTAAAGCTGGCGGTCTAAATCAGGGGTCTGCCATCTTTGTGACTGAAAGAGCCAATTTACCACTTCTCATAAATAAGCACCGCTCTTCAAAGTTACTTTTTTCTTTTAGTGTCAAATACAAACTAAACAGGTGTGGACAAGAAAAGGGGAAATGTTCTTGTTCAGAAATGTTTAGAATTATTTATTATTTTCCCATTTCTGTTGACAATTTGTAAAAATTTCCAGTTAGACATAAATATAGCATCAAGATGCACAACACAAACCAACATGGACCTGGAACTAAGTCACTCTGTCAGAAGGTTGCCTGGTGGTGTGGGGGCCCAAAGCAGTTGCCTAGTTAGCATATGCCTTGGGCTGGCTCTGCATCTTGTTGAAGGTGATGTAACACTTGTTCCAAACAAACTAGGCCAGCTAGCTAGCTGGCTTACACCAACACGGTCCCAGAACTCTCACCCCTCCCATCAGGTATAATCATTAGGCCGCGCCCCTCTGGATATGCGAATGTGCTCTGCCACGGTGAACAACACAAAGCAGTACACCGGTCGCTATTCACGTTAATCAATATGGCGGAGTCACCGGTAGGTGAAAAATAAACAATATAAACATCCAACTTTAATAACTTGTTTTAACTTAGATTTACTAAGAAATCACAATGTAACCATAGACACATTGCTTGTTGTGTGTGTGTGTGTGTGTGTGTGTGTGTGTGTGTGTGTGTGTGTGTGTGTGTGTGTGTGTGTGTGTGTGTGTGTGTGTGTGTGTGTGTGTGTGTGTGTGTGTGTGTGTGTGTGTGTGTCTGCTCTGTCTTCTCGATCCCCAGTGAGTCGTGGAGGATGGCTGCTTATACTGAGCCAGGATCCTCTGGAGGTTTCTTCCTGTTAAAAGGGAGTTTTCCTCTCCACTGTCGCTATATGCTTGCTTAGTGTGAGGATTGCAAGTCACTGACACTAGTCAGTGACTTGATGCAATTTGCTGGGTTCCTTATATAGGAAACATTTTTTTTCTGATTGGCTTAATGAACTGACCTGAATCGGAATGTTTATTATGTAAAGTGCCTTGAGATGACTTTTGTTGTGTTTGGCGCTACATAAATTAAATTGAATTGAACTTATTCATATGGTAACGAAGTATGTTTTAAAATGTTAATTTATTGATTATTTTCAGTACAAAGAGTAATAAAAAGCATGGTAGCCTGCTTGTAAGCTACTGCTTACTGCTTGTTTTGTCTGAGTGTATGTTGCGTCTCACATGGATAGACTTCATTTCCCACAATCCCTCCGCGCGTGAGGAGGAGCCGTCATGGCTGGAAGCTGCTGATGCGGGACCCCGACGGTTGCAGAGAGGCTGAAAACTATGTCTTCCCGTTCAGACAGGTACACGATCCTCTCAGAGACCTTAGACGCCTTAGACGTCATTTATTCTGGGGGGAAACGTCACGTTTGATGTTCTTCATTATCATCTCCAATGCGCCGCAGCGCCTCAATCTGTGATGTAACCTACCGCGCACCCTCCTCTCGCTCAGCTTAAGCTAACAGCACATAACCACAGCTCAGCTAAAGCTCCAAAATTTTTACATCAACATCAACAAACGTGGAGAAACATCGACTTCATTGGGAGGTGAACGGGATGACGTAAAACCCTGCGTCACGCGAAACCTGCTTCTATTTATCACCTGAAAAAATCATACCTGTTCGATTATAAACTACAACTAAACTATCTTCTCTCCTAAGCTTTCAGTGCATCGCTAAAAATAAAAATATATCAAATACTGGAAATACTTCCGGCTCTGTAAGACACTTATGGAGTCCCTCTAAGCTCAACTGTTTTAAAATAAAAGGTTTATTATCTGAAGCTGACAAGTGGAGTTATAGCAATGAGAAAAGTCACTTTAATAGAGTAATTAATCATTTGATGTGGTCGATAAGCTGACACTAGCTGTGGAGTTCATTATGCTGCCTCAGAACAAACCCAAATTAGGATTTAAAGCAAAATGAACTTTAGATGAATGTATCTGTAGGTTTCCCTCTCCTAGAGTCCTGATGGAACTATGGCGGAGTGTAATTTTGTTCACCTTTAACCACAGGTCTTGAGTAAGACAGTGGTGGACATGTTCTATTGTTTTTACAGGTGATGAGTGAGTTACCATGTGAGACTCTGTCCCTCTTGCTGGATGGTGTCCCTCAGCTGAGAGGACAGATCATGAGAGGTGCACCCTGTCCTCTTTGTGGTTACAGGTGTCTATTAATACCAGCCAAGCAGCTTTTTGCTCTCAGAGTTACAGTGATCCTCTTAGTGTCACACACACACACACACACACACACACACACACACACACACACACACACAGGCAGTAGTCTGGATCGATGGGCAGGTTTTCAGATGAATGAAAGCAGAGCGAAAACCAACCCGTGATTTACACCCCATCACTGTTGAGGGCCAATTGTTGTTTTAGAGAAGGTTGCCACGGCAACAGGAACCTGGAGGGTAGCAGGCTGTCATCTGGGTCAGACATGACTCTGCTTGATTGTGCCGGAGCCAGAATCTCAGGGTGTTGGTCGCTGAGATCTGACCGCAGGTAAGATCCGGTCTGATCCGTGTGTGTGTGTGTCTTTGTGTGTGTTTGTACGTGTGCGTTGGGTCTGTTCAGAGGTCACAGGAAGTGTATGACATGGGTTAGTGTGGTGAAACAGTGGGGTTGGCTCCCCTGCTGTGGATCATTGCTCAGCACTTGAAACTACAGCAGCTGATGGTGCAAATCACTCGTTAGTGTCTCATTTTGTCTGCACATACAGGAACAAAACATGCAGAGTACTCATTTAGCCAGTAGATGCTCTGCAGTGCCTGGATGTGTGACGCAGAAGCTAAGCTGACTCCTGTTTATATTTGACTGTAAACAGCATGGTGACTCTGATCACGGGGATGTTTCAGAAAACATGGTTTACTTCAGTTTACTTCACCTCCAACAACCTAGAAACACTCTTCTCAGCCTCTCCTACATGACAGCTAAAGCTGGTCTTTAGTGCGTTTAGATAAATAAAAATCATTATTATTCAATGATCTCTGCCAATAAGGTCGCCAAAGCAGAAGAACTGAACAAACGAAACCCCCTCACTGCCATCCAACCAGTTAATCTTCTGTTTCTGTCACAATGTCTGATTCTTATTGCCTGCTACAGTTTTGGATAAACCAAACAGATCCTAAGCATCAGCTCTAGTAGGAATAGTGTGATGTGACTTTTGGTAACGTATGAGACAAGATATTTATCTTAGCTTCCCATTTGCACACTTGTTGTGAGTACATAGGAATATCCTGGATTTTAATTTTCATTAGGTTCTGCTAAACAAGCAGATGCACAATGGACAGTCTCACTACAGCAACGTTTGCTGTCTGCAGAAAAGACAAGAAAAGGGAGAAAGGTGTAAAGATTTTAGCCCACTGACAAAGTTAATGTCTGTTTTACTACAGAAACTATAATAAAAGCTACAAGTAGGTGGTGCTTTAAAATCAGCAACACCACCAGGAGCATGACAAACCCATTAACAAAATAATAGTTAGATGGGATTTTCAAAGCAGACATCAACCCTGAAATTATTTTTATTCAAAGTGAATTAATTTTTTCCCACCATTTATACAATTAAAGTTTTATGCGGATGTTTACCTTCATCTGTTACTGACTCTAACCCATCAGTCTTTCTGTCTAATAAGTAAACATCTGACCACATACATTCAAGGGTGACAGATTATAAAATGAAGCACTAAAGGTGTCAAAACTCCGGTCCTCGAGGGCCGCTACCCATGTTTTAGTGTTTTCCCTGTTTCAACACACCTGATTTCAATCAGCAGGTGATTACCAGGCTCCTGGAGAGCCTGATGAGCTGCTGCACTTATGATTAAACTGTTGGAACTAATGGGCCATTCCCATCTGTACCGGGTCGGCCCGGGCCGGGTAGCGTAGGTGGTTTACATATCTGGGTGGCCTGGAATTTTTCCGGGCCAACCAAGGCTCATTCTCAGCCCTCTTCTCGAGGGGGTCTGTTTCAAGCCGACCAGGGCCAACACACCCACTGCTGACAGCAAATTCACACCTTCCATTAGAGCAAGCCTCTGATTGGTGGGTAGAATCAGCCCACATGGACTTAAGACAAGGATGTGTGGAATCAACCGGGCCGACTGGGGCTACCCGGCCCGGGCCGACCCGGTACAGATGGGAATGGCCCAAAGGAAACAACAAAAAGAAGCAGCATCCAGGCCCTCGGGGGCTGGAGTTTGACACCTGTGTTGCACACTACTGGCCTCGTGTTGCTGCTTTGGTACCAGTATGTTCTGATTTGCAGTGAATGTCATCTCACTTCTTCGGTTTAGCAAAATTGCACCAAGTTGTATTTGCACAAATTCATGCATATTGTTATTTACACAATTTAACCCAAATAGCTATAGTCTCACATTTCTCTGCACAGTCTTACTATACAGCTTTTTTTCATGGTATGCTCTGGTATGCAGGATAAATGTGCTGTTTGTGGTTTTGCAAATTAAACATAAATGGCGTGAGAGAATGCGTCCAGATACCCCCAGACAGTGTATCTAACAGTCAGTCCCAGGTCTTATCCGTTCAGGCATGTCCTCCTGGTTGTTGTGTCTCAGTGGGAGCGGGGAGGACTCGTTGGACCGGCTGCTGCCACACACTGGCACCCATCGCAGGAAGAGCGCTACTTCTCTGAGTAAAACGGAGCCTCCCCTGCTCCGCACCGGCACACGCACCATCTACACCGCAGGACGCCCTCCCTGGTATGACGAGCACGGGGCTCAGTCAAAGGAGGCCTTTGTCATAGGTACAATATGCTGTTTTCTTTGTCTTCCTCTACCTTTGTGCCTAATGATTGGTCGATCTGCTCATATTGCACACATAAACACTTCAGGACAGCCATATTTTAGATACACGCTAGAAATCAGACAATAGATATTTGAAAGGCTGTGTGGGTCTGCAGGGCTGTGTGGGGGCAGCGCCTCCGGGAAGACCACCGTGTCCAATAAGTTCATCGAGGCCCTGGATGTGCCATGGGTCGTTCTGCTGTCTATGGACTCTTTCTACAAGGCGAGTAGAACATGCATATTAGTCTTTTTTTATCTAGCCTGGCTTATTTTCTGCAGATTGGTCGCATGAAGGACTGAATAAGGATTGTGGTGACAGGTTAGATTAAAGCCAGGCAGAAATAAATCATCTGTTTCCGCCGTCAGGGTTTATCATCAGAGGAGCAGGTCCTGGCAGCAAACAACGACTACAACTTTGACCATCCAGGGGCTTTTGACTTCGAGCTGCTGGTTGCCACCCTGCGGAAACTGAAGCAAGGAAAGAGTGTGAAGATCCCCGTCTATGATTTCACCACACACAGGAGGCAGAAAGACTGGGTGCGGTGGGTTGTAGAGCAAATTTCCACAGAAATCTTAAATAAAATATGCATTCTTGTGATGGTGGAGGAAGTAAAGCAGGCATTCCTGAGGGCTAAATCTTCTAACTTTCCCTTAAATCATCACAAAATATGCAGCAAACATATTCCTGAGGAAGCTGAAGTGACTGTACATGAAGCAACTTTTTCTCATGCAGAAAAACGTGTATGGAGCGAGTGTTATCATACTTGAAGGAATCATGGCTTTTGCAGACAAAGAGCTTCTTCAGGTGAGGCAGCAGGTCTTTCATTTTTTCTGTTTTGAAGAATTCCTCGGCGAAGTAATCAGCAGCTGCTTTACTGAAGGGAGCATGATTGAAGCCCTTTCTTTCTGCAGCTCCTGGATATGAAAATCTTTGTGGACACAGACTCTGACATTCGTCTCGTCCGCCGGCTCAGAAGGGACATCACCGTGCGTGGGCGGGACATTGAAGGCGTCATCAAGCAGTACATCAAGTTTGTGAAGCCGGCCTTTGAGCAGTACATTGAGCCCACCATGAGGCTGGCTGATATTGTAGTGCCTCGAGGTGAGACGGGCTGCCTCCAAAGTACAAAACACAATAAATAAATAAAATTTTATACAATAAAGCACAGAATAAACCTTCAAAGTGTGTTTTGTTTTTCCTTCAATCCAAGGTGGTGGGAACATGGTGGCCATTGATCTGATCGTCCAGCATGTCCAAAGCCAGCTGGAGGAGGTGAGAAAGAGACAAGGGAGTTTGGCGCCACCATGTGTTCAACAGCTGTAACTTACACTTTTATTTCATATGTTCCAGGTTGTTTGTTTGTTTTTGAGTACATGACATATAAGATGAGTCAGGACCCAGAGCTGGATCCTGACTCATCTTTGGGAACCAGCGATGTAAATTAGATCCTCTGTTTTCCGTGACTGTTGTGGACTAAAATAGCAGAAGAGTTACTAATAAAGTTCCCAGTTTTTGAAACGCAGCTGTAAATGTTACTTGTAACCTTTGCAGACCAAGGATTTCAATCCTCTCAGGTCTGTTTGACTTGTCCATCTCAGGTGTCCCACTGCTGTGGCATATACTGGGAATATCCATGAATCCCAGATAGAGCCATATAAATCCAAAGCTTACCCATTGAGTTGTCCGTACATCATACACAGCTGCACACAGCTGTACACAGAGTTTCTAGCTTCAGACGGCATCATACAGCAATCAGGGTAAACTGGCCAATCAGCATACACCTCACTGAATATTTGTGTTCTGGCTAAGTGGGTGGGGAAAACCAGTCTAGGGCATTGCTATGGGTGTGTGTTTTATTGTTTATCATTTATCAGGGCTCCTGGGTAATTTTGAGCACGAACAGAGATTCATGTGCTTCATAGCGTCTCAAAGAGCGTTTTCCATTTGTAAAAAAGTTGTAGAATCCCTTAATTTAGCAGCAGTGTGTTAATAATATTAGGTGCATCATATTAAAAATTAAAACTGAAGATTTTTGGGAAATCTTTGTTTAAAAAACCCACAAATGTATTAAATAACTAAACAAAAACTACTTTTTAATCATTTTAAATGAGAAATAAGGACCCAGGTATTACTTAAAGATGATATCTGATGTGCTTTTTCATCCAGGCAAGATCAATAAAACAAACACTAACCAGCAGCTCAAAGGGCCACTTTTCTGTCTCTTATTGAGACAGCTGGGAGCTTTTAGAGTGAATTAAACAAACATAATCTGTCGAACTCTGTTCTACGTCCACCACAGGGCCGAGCATGCTGCAAAAATGTCAAGTTGCATGTTTAAATGTTCTGGATATTTGTAGAATTTGTCCCCCTGTTTGAAAAAAAAAATCATCCAGTTATTTTCCAAACAGAAACTTTGTGAATCTGATAGATTATGTTGTTGCTGAGAAAAAATAATCCCGCAAAGCCTTTTGTTCTGTCTTCTGTCATTTATCTGTCCTTTCCTTGTGTTTTTTTCTCTTTGGTGCAGCGTGAGCTCAGTGTCAGGTACGCTCTGACAGCCTCTGGATTCTGTCGTCACAAATTATTATTATTTTCTTGTCCATAGAACGTGCACGCCAACCTTAATGCCATTTTTCTGTCGCTAAGAATTGAAGTCTTTTCAGAGTTATTTGGTAAATTGTGATATTGAGAGTTAATAATGATCACCTGCTTTGAAAGGCAAACATATGTGTATTTGTCCATTAGCAAAACATTTCCTGAACCAGCTAAAAGGAGGGGCTGCTGGCTCCAGTGCATTCTGGGACTTGTAGTTTTAATGGTATTTAACCATTCACTTATTGTAGAACATTTATAATACTTATCTTGGGAGAAACATGCAGCAGGTTTGGAAGCTTTCTTCAAGTCTGACAAGGTCCAATGAGCTCATCTTAGCTCAGCTAGACCAGCTGGACCATCATGATTCTGTTGCTCAGATGAATCAAGCTTCAAGACTGTTGCATCCTTCAAAAAGACTTTTGTTTTTCTGTTCTGGTCTCTGTTAAGTCTTGTTTCGGTCCCTGAGGTAAACAAGCTCCCTATTCCTTCATGTAAGGTATCCTTTTAGATCATGTCTAAACCAAACAAGCAGCACAGTTTATGTTAGTGCCCACCTTCCCAGTAGTTGTACTCTAAATGTTTTGATTAATCTCTAAACTATCTCTGATTTGAGCATCCTGTCCTGTTCCTCAGGGCTCTCCTGGCATCTGTCCAACAGACACAGCCACTGCCTCAGACTCTCAGTGTCCTGGAGAGCACGCCACAGGTCAGAGGCCTGCACACCATCATCAGGTATCAACACAAGCGCACCTTCAACTCCCAGTCCATTTCACAGAGTCACCAAGCTATTCGTTCGGCTCTCCTGCAGGAACAAAGAAACCAGCAGGGATGAGTTCATCTTCTACTCAAAGAGGTTAATGCGTCTTCTCATAGAACACGCTCTGACGTTCCTACCGTCTCAGGTGGGCGGGGTTTCACACCTATCACAAATGCACCTAAAATGTCATGTTTCACACATTTTGAGCATGTATTTTCTACAAAATGAGATGCAAAAGTGTGGGCAGTTAAATATATCATATAGGAGACACACACACACACACACAGTGATATTTGAGAAGTGAAACAAAGTTTATAGGATTTACAGAAAGTGTGCCCTAATTGTTTAAACAAAATTAGGAAGGCTCATAAACTATTTTATTCATTCTAAAACCTTTCGAACTAAATATTGGAACTCAAAATTGGTTTGGGAAGCGCAGTGACCCTTGACCTCCATAAACAGGTGAATCCAGTTATAAGAAGGAGTATTTAAGGGGACCTAATTGTAAGTTTCCCTCCTCGTTGAATATTCTCTGAAGAGCAGCAACACGGGGGTCTCAGAACAACTCTCACATGAGCTGAAAACATAGATGGTTTAGGGGAAAGAGACAGAAAGTTGTCTCAGAGATTTCAGCTGTCTGTTTCCACAGTTAGGAACATATTGAGGAGATGGAAGACCAAAGGCACAGTTCAAGTTAAGGCTCCAAGTGGCAGCAGATAAACAGAAGAGAAGAATTATGAGAACAGAGTCAACCCACAGAGCAGCACCAAAGGCCTACAACATCATCTTGCTGCAGATGTTCAACAGTTCTGCACACTTTACACAAGGAGGTGCTGTATGTGAGAGTGATGCAGAGGAAGCCTTTTCTCCTCCCACAGCACAAACTGAGCTGCTTGAGGTATGCTAAAGACCATTTGGACAAGCGAGCTTCATTATTAAGATGCTGTGGACGGATGAAACTAAAACTGGTTCATTTGGGCACAACAAGTGGTGTTATGCATAGAGGAAAAATAACACAGCATTCTTAGAAAATTCACCTACAACCTACAGTAACATGGTGGTTCCATCATGCTGTGGGCTGTGTGACCAGTGCAGGGAATGGGAATCTTGTTAAAGTTGAGGAATTCAGATTCTGGCGACCAGTGTCCAGGAATCGGTGATAAAGCTGAAGCTGAACCGGGGCTGGATCTTTCCACAAGACAAGGACCCTAAACACTGCTCAGAATCTACTAAATCGTTCGTGCAAAGGAACAAGTTCTGGAAAGGCCATCTCAGTCCCCAGACCTGAATATTATTGAAACTCTGTGAGTGAAAGGGAGCTGTCCATGCTTGGAAGCGTCATATCTGAATGAACTAGGGATTTTTTGTAAAGAAGAATCTTCCAAAAAAACCTTCAACCAGAATCCAGACTCTCATTTGAAACTGTAGGAAGTGTTTAGAGGCTGTTACTTCTGCAAAAAGGGGAGCTACTAAATATTGAGTGAGTTTATTATTTGTGGTGCCCAAATTTATACACCTGCCTAATTTTGTTTAAAAATTTATGGCTTACTTTCTGTAAATCCTATAAAAATTGTTTCACTTCTCAAATATCATTGTATGTGTGTGTGTCCTATATGATATATTTAACTGAAAAATTCTATCTTAACAACTAACTATTTATACGAGAAGATCATGAAGATTAACAAGACTGCCCAAGTTTCCACATCTCACTTTATGTCAAATCTTGTAAATCTGGTTAATATTCCACAGTCGATTTCTGAGTGGTGATCAAGAGCCGATCCAGAGGGTCAACTATCACATTTTGACAACTGTATTTATATAATTATTTTTAATATGTCCATCCATCAATACTTAATTCATTCATCCTCTAAACATACGTACATATGCACACATATATCATCCATCCATCCATCCATGATAGCTCTGTGCAGAAAGACTACACAGGCGGGATCTAAACTGGCAACCTTCTCAGTTGGAGGAAGCAATATTACCAACTCCACCACTATCTCACCTCTCGCACTGTTTTAAAGATATTATAGTGTGATAAAAACACGACTAAAGTGCAGGTGTATTTAGAAAATGTAAATGTACCGTGAAGGCATCGTCGAGCATGCTCTAAATGCATGCACTGTAATTCTCTACTACATACTCAGAAAAAAGAGAAATAGTGTAATTGACAAAACTGCAGAAATACAAAGCTTATTAAGAAAATGTTAGTGCTTTATTTTTAAAAATGAAAAAAATATGAATCTATGTGAGCAAAGTAAGATCTGTTAAAAGACAAGTTCACAATACAATTGGAGATTGGAGGATCCTGACTCCTAGTGGAATTATTGATAGCTTGTGTTTTGCTCCTTGTGTGAAAACTGGAAATATAACCGGATATAATACATAGTAACTCAAGCATTTACAGTGATTCTCTGCCCTGAATGGCAACATAAATAAATAAGGCTGTAATTCTGTATTGAACCATGTGGTTTATTACAGTTTGTGATGAAACTAACCCCCCTTGTGTGTGTCTTGGACAGGGGTGTGTGGTCCAGACTCCACAGGGACATCAGTACGAGGGCCGCAGTTACAATGGGAGTGGGGTAACTATGTTGAGCTGTTCACCCCTAGCTGCCAGCTTCCTCTGGAGGATATAAAGCCACCCTCACACCTCTTCTTTGTTTCAACAGATCACCGGAGTGTCCATCCTCAGGGCAGGAGAGACCATGGAGCCCGCCCTGAGGGCCGTGTGCAAGGACGTTCGCATCGGGAAGATCCTCATCCAGACCAACCTGGACTCAGGAGAACCGGAGGTAAAAGACATAAGTCAAACCAAGTATCTCCACTGTTTTATTTGGGTTTTCATAATAACTTCCAGCAAAAATGAATTGTTTTTTTCCACATGATGCTTGTCTCCGTGGTAACTACCTGTCTTGTTCCTGTAACCATGGTAACTGGTCTCCTCCAATCCTCCGGCTAGCTGCATTACCTGCGTCTGCCTAAAGATATCAGCGAAGATCATGTCATCCTGATGGACAGCACAGTCTCCACCGGTGCCGCTGCCATGATGGCAGTGCGTGTTCTGCTGGTGGGTGGAGCCTAACGCCATTCTTCATTCAGACCGTGTTTTTGCAAAGATACAAGAGCACGTTTCCTACCTGTGACTTATGTTGGCGTGCGTGTGTGTGTGTGTGTGTGAGCAGGATCATGAGGTGCAGGAGGATAAGATCATGTTGGTGTCTCTGCTGATGGCTGAACTCGGGGTCCACTCCGTGGCCTACGCTTTTCCCAAAGTAAAGATAATCACCACCGCTGTGGACAAGAACCTGGACCAGTTCTTCCATGTGACTCCTGGTATTGGTAGGCAGTTTAATACACGGAGAAGTTGCACACAAATCTTTTCCTCAACTGGCTACTATGAGTGTGGGATTATAAATGACTCTGAATCAATATTAGAAGAGGAAACAGGATAGAATAGAAATCCCTTCAATGGGGGAAATGAATAAAAGGCTGTACATAGAGCAAAAAACTTTAGAAAAAATATAAGAAAAAATACTCAAAAAGGTTCAGTTCAATTTACAACATTTTAAAAGTAGATGATAAAATAGGGTGTAAAAAGGCCTACATTACATGGAGTGATAACATGAATGGAGATGTGTGTAAAGCAGTGGTGATTAAATCCTTACAGCTGCTGGGAGGAAGGACCGGCAGTAACGTTCCTTCGTGCATCTAGGATGCAGCAGTCCGCCATTGAAGGAGCTTTCTGGCTTCAGCTTCATGCATGGAGTGGGACAGCAGAAGCTCAGGGGGGTTGTCTAGTAATCAGAAGGTTGTAGGTTCGATCCCAGCTCTGGCCACAGAATGCTGCTGTGGTGTCCTTGGGTAAGACATTTAACCCACCTTGTCTGCTGGTGGTGGTCAGAGGAACTGGTGGTGCCAGTGTTCAGCAGGCCTCTCTTCTGCCAGTGTGCCCCAGGGTAGATGTGGCTACATTGGCTCATCCCCACCAGCGTGTGAATGTGTGTTTGAAAATGTGAATGACTGATTGTGTTGTGAAGCACCTTGGGGGGATTGTAGAACCCTAAGAAGATGCTATACAAATACAGGCCATTTATTCATTTATTAATGATAATTGAAAATGAAAAATCAGGAAATGTGAAAGATGAACTGTTTAAGGAGCGCATAACAGCCTACCTCTGTGGAGTAAACAAGGAGCCCTGAATAAAGATAAATGTATATATATATATACATATATATATATATAGAGAGAGAGAGAGAGAGAGAGAGAGAGAGAGAGAGAGAGAGAGAGAGAGAGAGAGAGAGAGAGAGAGAGAGAGAGAGAGAGAGAGAGAGAGAGAGAGAGAGAGAGAGAGAGAGAGAGAGAGAGAGAGAGAGAGAGAGAGAGAGAGAGAGAGAGAGAGAGAGAGAGAGAGAGAGAGAGAGAGAGAGAGAGAGAGAGAGAGAGAGAGAGAGAGAGAGAGAGAGAGAGAGAGAGAGAGAGAGAGAGAGAGAGAGAGAGAGAGAGAGAGAGAGAGAGAGAGAGAGAGAGAGAGCACCATATAGTGAACATTTTAAACACTTTTATCATAGACAGACACATTGAATCCATTGTGAAAACCTTAGGGCTCCTTGGAGGCTTTAACATACTTCACTGTTTCTACAGAACTTTCTATTATATCTGTTCGTTATTTAGAGTTGTGTTTATTTTTAGTTCTGAATCATGACACGTTAAAATAGAATGAAATGGTAAATGGTCTGTATTTGATATAGCGCCTTCTAGAGTCCTGGAACCCCCCAAGGCGCTTTACAACACAATCAGTCATTCACCCATTCACACACACATTCACACACTGGTGGGGATGAGCTACAATGTAGCCACAGCTGCCCTGGGGCGCACTGACAGAGGAGAGGCTACCGAGCACTGGCGCCACCGGTCCCTCCGACCACCACCAGCAGGCAACGTGGGTTAAGTGTCTTGCCCAAGGACACAACGACAGCGACAGACTGAGCGGGGCTCGAACCTGCAACCTTCCGATTACGGGGCGAGCACTTAACTCCTGTGCCACCGTCGCCCCATGAAGAGATGATAATGCTCAGCTAAATATGTAAGTTCAATCTTTATTCTGTGTGCATTCGTTACCTGTTCTAAATAAAAACGGAACAATGGTGTTCCTGGCCTCTGGTCCTTTCAACAGCCAGTAGGGGGCGATTGTCTAGTTGTAAAAACACGTACAGGCTGAAACTTTTCAAACTTGTATTTTTATCTTACTTTGATGCCAGATTTCTCACTTTTTGTGTTGTGATGGTGTCAGGGCAATTAAAGATGGCTGAATCAAGACTAATCAAACTGGCAACTTATGATGAGAACCATAAAATACACCTCTATGCCCCAGCAGTGATACTTTTACATATGGATTCATTTCCAAGCATCAACGCTCCTGAAATAACTATTTTGGTCCAAATGAACTGTGTTTGAACATCCAGGCTCCCGTAGCAGCTCTTCTCTTCTTTTGTAGCAGCATGCCCTCTCCAACGTTTCAAATGAAATAGGCCGTGACATCTCACCTGATTAAACACCTTAATCCAGCATGAGCTAAAGCAAGGCTGCCCTAGTCGCCACTGCTTAACACAAGCTATCGCTCACCTCAGTGTCAAATTTGAAACTTTTAGATGGGTTTTTTATGTAAAACCAAATGGTAGAAAGTATTTTCCTTTTCATTTTAGTTTAGATCTCTCAGACTTTGCAGCTGTTATGGTTCTGCTGTTTTATTTTTAACCCACACCCCAGTCAAAGACCTCCTCTGAGTCCATTGTTGTGCTTTTCTCAGGGGACTTTGGGGACCGGTACTTTGGGACGGACAGTTCTGACACCTGGAGGGACGGGGAGGACCGTGAGCAGCTGTCACTCTGACTTAAACTGTTGTGAGACTCAGCATAAAGACAACAAAACAAACCGGTTTTTGTTCCTTCTCCTTTTCTTCAGGTATGGTGTAGAAGGTCTTCATGACCTTTGTACTGATGCCATTTTTTACTCTAATGCAGTTTTCAGGTACATTTTTGCAATAAGAGCTCAGATCAGGGTGAGTGTATTCCAAATGTTCCTAACTTCAGCGATTCAAGTGAGATCTGTTTGGGTGAGGAGCTGTATCTATTTTTATACTCTATTATTTGCTTTGATCACTAAAAAAGTGATTGAAGTCATCATCAGCTGACTGAAAAAACATTACTGCTGAGGATTATCAAACAGTGTCAACAGAAATGTTTTCAAATAACAATTAGTGGTGTCACTGAAATTCATCTTCCTATGATAGATCAGGTCTGTTTGCAGATTAGTAGATTAAGTCCAATGTCTCTGGGAAACATGCTTTGATCTTTTTCACTTTTAAACTTTAAACACGTTTTTTAAATAAGTGTTTAATTTAGATAAGATACATCCAAGTTCAGTAAGTACACACACACACACACACACACACACACACACACCAACCTAGGATGTGCTGCTCTTATTAAGGATTTATCCCAGGATTTAAAGGTGAAAGGGCCTTGCCATTTGTTTTTTATTTCTTTAGAACTGAAATATAAAATATTACAATTGTCATCAACACAAAGAGAGTACTATTACTCCTAAGATTTGAATAATCTATTTATCTAGTATCATTTTAATTTATTTTCTTAATTAAAGGGCTGCTAAAGAAAACTGCTTTACTTTGATTTGAAGAGTTTTGTGTTTCTGTTAATACAATTTAAAAACAGCTGGAACACCCTCGTATCATCTCACTTCTACATGCATTTACTTCTGAATACAGATTGATTTAATAGTGTGTTTTATCTGATCCAAACTCATTGCGACATGGTTCAAATTAAAAGTCATTATTCCAGTGTTGCGTTGTTTTCTCCCTTACTGGCTGCAAGATTTCCATGATTTGGTCTCATCCGAGGTCACGAGGTCACGCGGTTTTAAATTGCTCTCAGGGTTCATGTTCAAGCTGAACGGATCCCCCATGTGTTACCCTCTAAAGCCTGAAGGGGTCAGTGTTTCTTACATTAAGGTGCTTTAGTGAGATTTTCTAGCACCTCTAGTTGATAAATACTTTTAACAGAAGATACACACTGGCTCATCTGATTGACTAAGATGTGGTGTTCAATAAATGGTGTTGCTGTGGACTGGTTTATTATAGTGTATTATGGTTTAACTGACTCATCACTGTGTGTGTGTGTGTGTGTGTGTGTGTGTGTGTGTGTGTGTGTGTGTGTGTGTGTGTGTGTGTGTGTGTGACTCCCCTCAATGATTTGCCTGCCATATTTGGTATGATCTCTCCTCTTTTAGGCCATGGTGCTGAGTCTTTTCTAGGTGTCATGCACTTCCAATCAATCTCAAGCACCTCATTCATACATTTATTCAGCATTCATGCTCCTCACAGTGGGATTAGCACATCACATGAGCTGAGAGCGTTGTCATCTCCCAACACCTACAGGATCTGCAGCTCCTACGTGTTTGTTTTGGGTTTGTTCTTGCTGCAACTGCTCCTCGCCAAGCGGGTGACACTGTGATCACGGATGTCACACGACGCATGCTGTATTCTCCAAGACAGCAGAAGACTCGCTCGCCCATGTGACTACTGCCTCAAGGTTAACCTGTTGCCATGGAGACAGACCCACCAATGAAAATTCAGCAGACGATGTTGACTGCAAGCGTTTTGTTTTAAGGGGTGACCTATTTTTTTCCCCTCCTCCCCCCTTCCACATGCAGACACACAGACCCCACCACTCTGGCCCATGTGCACGTGCACTTTCATACTGATAACAGAAACAGGGAGGCTACACACACACACAAAGACACGTGTGAAATCAGGTTTTAACGTTCAGGAAAACAGGAATCAGGCACAAAATGAGACAAAAACAGCCTTTTTTCTCCTTTGTTCTCATCTTCAGGCAGCTGTTAAAGACCAGAGGAGAAACCCTACCTTTGCGTCCTCTTTAATAAGCCAGACTGTGGAGATAAAGCATGTTTTTTTAAAGTGCCACTTTATTACAAAAGTATAAACTTGACTGACATTTCATGAATAGTAATCTTGATATAAAACATTACAATCTTTTGCACTTTAGCACTTAATTACACGCTTTTTGAATACAAGACCCTGTAGTCTGAATAGCAAACACACAACATTAGCTGCCACATTTAGCTTAGCAGGGCTTTTCCAACAGCACACCGTAGCTTCATGGCTTCGAAAACAACAAACAGAATACACGAAAATTGACATTGCAGCTGTTTGTGTCACAATAGAAGTCATTCCAAACACAACTGAACATAATAGAAAAGGATAGATTTCTTGACACTGATGATATATTTATTATTCATCTCTTTTGTCATGTACATACACATTGCATCAACATACAGTATAATCACATTGTTTGTTTGGGGTATATTTGGTTGAGTGAAGTCGCCGTTATTGTTCTGGATGTCATTCCTTTGCGTCGTCCTCTGGGCTCATTTTTTTTCTGTGATATTTTTAATACTGATAACAGAGTGTTAATGATGACGTTTGCTAACACATCAGATCTACTGTAGCTTTCCACACTGCACCATGATGAAACCCAAGCAGACTCATAAGAACACAGGTGGATCCACAGATATGAGTGGAGACAGAGCAGACAGGGAAGGGTGAGTTAGAGGGTTGGAGTGGACCTTCTCCACATTTAGGACTCAAAACAGTTGACATGGATTTATTTGTACTGAGTGTGTTGCAGGCGCAGGCCCACACAGCCCCAGAGAGCCAAACACATCCTTAATCAAACTGGCTTTGAGCTCTACAGAGAAATAAAGAAACACACTGGGAAACGAAAGTAAACAACCAACAACAAAAAAATATATAAAAACATTCATATAGATAAATCACATGACAGTGCTTGTTTTTGTTTGCTTTTTTTTCACAATTTTAAACATTTTTTTGTTGTAATTTTTTCCTTAGGCATGCAACTTGTAGCAGGCAAAGTGCAGAAACAGGATCAACAAAGTAAAACACTTCATTTACAGACAGCAGTGGAGACAGTGTTCAGTCCAAGTGGCGTGAGACCAAATATGGGAAGCATCTGATCAGACTTTTTCTACTGAAGATCTGCTGAAGCTTTTAGGAGGAATGCAAAATGTGTGCAAATTTCTTTATAATACTTTTATAATTCTTATTCATGGTCCCTGAGCTTTCAAGTGTTTTGATTAATAATTCATTCATTGATATTGTTTCAATTCTGTCCTGAATGATTTAACGCAGGGAAGGTCTGTTCACCACAAACTAAGTGCTACTAAAATATCTGACACATCTCTGTGTCTTCTCTAATTGCAGGCCCGACTTGGACCACATATAGGACTAGTTTACCTGCTAGAATTGAGGAAGAATTTAGGCTCTTAACTTTATTGTGCTTTGCACGTTTACGAGTAAAACTGAAGTGCTACTGATACCTACAGATTGCTCTGCAATGGTATTGTGCTCATTTATTCGCTACCTTTGGATTCCTTTAAGGTTTAGATAGGACTTTATATTCAGCCCAGGTCATAACTGATCAACATTAGCAGCCCAAGGCTTCCCGGGGCCTGTGAGAGGCTCCATGTTATGACTTGAATGTAAACAGTATGTGTGGATGAACATGACAGGGGCCCAGCAGTCTCTCCCCCTGGTGTTAGCTCAACCCCTATTGTTGGAAGGAAAAGTGAAGGGGGGGTCACAGTGCAGCCGCCGCTGCTTCAGAGCCCTGTAACGTACATCTCCATGCCATCGTTGAAAGTGAAGATGGTGGTGGTGCTGGAGGTGGCGGAGCCCTGCTTCAAGTCGCTGATGCTCTCATACAGGTTCTCACCCGGCAGCAGCAGGGCTTTGGCAGGCAGGTGTTGTAACTTGGGGGTCTGCTGCGTGGGCGGTGGTGGGGGAGGATGCTGCTGCTGCAATGGCTGCTGGGCTTTTTTCCTCCTCGGCCTCAACGTGGCACATGTGTTGGGGGGCCTCTCTCGTTTCCAGGGGCCCCCACCCTCCACATTCTCGTAGGCTGGATCACATTCCTCTGCACCAATGGACTCGTAGCAGTGGTCGTCGAGGGGCCCACCGACTGCTTTGCCTTCCTGAGGGGCCCACGTCTGAGGTTTGACCACTACGCTGAAGCCCCCGTCTCGGTCCCGGTCACCTCGACCTAAGGTCCGAAAGCCGAGGTTAGCTGGGGGAGACCCCGGCATAGCTCTCTTCTTCTTTCCAGGTTTGCACACTTTGGAGTACATCTCTGCCACCTGCAGTCATAAAGCATCAGTTTGGAGGTCATAGAGAGTTTAAATGTTTGATATTGTTTAAACAAACAACAGAGTTGTAAACAGTTTAGGATGGAGATAGAGCCAGCAGCTTCTTGGCTTAGATTCATAAGGTACCAAAGTGAAGGGAAACAACTGGACTTCACAAGTCAGCAAAAATAGCAAGTTGTAGTTTCTGTCAATTTTATTATTCATTATCATTCTGGTGTAAATATTTTCTACAGGAAGTGACTCAGGCTACAGTTAGCTGCTCCCAGACCCTTTGGCTGTTCCCAACTGGTGCTAGCTGATAACCACAAGTTTAGAAAATAACCATAATATAACCTAAACAGTTATATAAATAGTTATTATAATAATAATAATATTATTATTATTTTTAATAATAATAATAATAATACAGTGGGGTAAAAAAGTATTTAGTCAGCCACCGATTGTGAAAGTTCTCCCACTTAAAATGATGACAGAGGTCAGTAATTTACATCATAGGTACACGTCAACTGTGAGAGACAGAATGTGAAAAAAAATCCATGAATTCACATGGCAGGATTTTTAAAGAATTTATTTGTAAATCAGGGTGGAAAATAAGTATTTGGTCAATAACAAAAATTCAACTCAATACTTTGTAACATAACCTTTGTTGTAGTGATGGGAATTCCGGCTCTTTTTACAGAGCCGGTTCTTTTGGCTTAGGTCACCAAAAAGAGCTGGCTCTTTCGGCTCCCAAGTGGCTCCTCGGATTTTCTGTTGTGTTAAGAGTTCATTTATAACCAAAATAATGCAAAACTGTATGTAAAATGCTTTACTAATGTAAAAAAATGTAATATCAAATATTTATCATTTCTATGGATTTAATAACTGAACACTCAGAAATCTCCACTTTCCGACTGCTGGCTCTCATTTTCTCACCGTCTTCGTCGCACTCTCCTCTCTCGCTCGCCTTTTACTACCTCCTCATTCCCTCCCGTCTCCCTCCACCCGCATGTGCTCTGCTGTGTGTCTGAGTCTGATCCTCCCTCTTCCCCACCCCTACTGCTCTGTGTGTGGTCAGTCTGGACACGCAGTTGCACATGTTGACCAATCGCTTGTAGCTTTCACCAAAGCAAGAGGGGAGGGGGGAGGGGAGGGCACGGCTACAAATGACGAGCTGGCTCCCGTCGTTCACTTCAAAGAGCTGGCTCTTAGAGCCGGTTCGTTCGCGACCGACACATCGCTACTTTGTTGGCAACAACAGAGGTCAAACGATTACTATAGGTCTTTACCAGGTTTGCACACACAGTAGCTGGTATTTTGGCCCATTCCTCCATGCAGATCTTCTCGAGAGCAGTGATGTTTTGGGGCTGTCGCCGAGCAAAACAGACTTTCAACTCCCGCCACAGATGTTCTATGGGGTTGAGGTCTGGAGAGTGGCTAGGCCACTCCAGGACTTTCAAATGCTTCTTACGGAGCCACTCCTTTGTTGCCCGGGCGGTGTGTTTGGGATCATTGTCGTGTTGGAAGACCCAGCCACGTTTCATCTTCAAAGCTCTCACTGATGGAAGGAGGTTTTGGCTCAGAATCTCACGATACATGGCCCCATTCATTCTGTCCTTAACACGGATCAGTCGTCCTGTCCCCTTAGCAGAAAAACAGCCCCAAAGCATGATGTTCCCACCCCCATGCTTCACAGTAGGTATGGTGTTCTTGGGATGCAACTCAGTGTTCTTCTTCCTCCAAACACGACGAGTTGAGTTTATACCAAAAAGTTCTACTTTGGTTTCATCTGACCACATGACATTCTCCCAATCCTCTGCTGTATCATCCATGTGCTCTCTGGCAAACTTCAGACGGGCCTGGACATGCACTGGCTTCAGCAGCGGAACACGTCTGGCACTGCAGGATTTGATTCCCTGCCGTTGTAGTGTGTTACTGATGGTGACCTTTGTTACTGTGGTCCCAGCTCTCTGCAGGTCATTCACAGATAATGAGTTCAAACAGGTACCATTAATACAGATAACGAGTGGAGGACAGAAAAGCTTCTTAAAGAAGATGTTACAGGTCTGTGAGAGCCAGAGATTTTCCTTGTTTGAAGTGACCAAATACTTATTTTGCACCCTGATTTACAAATAAATTCTTTAAAAATCCTGCCATGTGAATTCATGGATTTTTTTTTCCACATTCTGTCTCTCACAGTTGAAGTGTACCTATGATGTAAATTACTGACCTCTGTCATCATTTTAAGCGGGAGAACTTGCACAATCGGTGGCTGACTAAATACTTTTTTGCCCCACTGTAGTACTATTGTAAAGTGTTAGCCTGCCACATTTTAAAGTTGAATTGCTTGGTCCAATTCAGACTAGCTGTTAGTTTGTCAATCTGGCCAGAATCCAACAAACGTGTGCTCCATTCTGAGATCAACATCATTTAGCAGGTAAAAATCATAATTATTATTTATAACCCTTTAAAACAAACTGACTTCAGCCTCTGCATTTGCTCTCTATAAGATGCACAGTGAGTGAGCAAAGAGCTGAGCTCAACATTTCCGTTGCTGTGATGAGAACAAGGCTTTACTCATTACAATATGTGAACTTGAATATTTGAATTTTACACTCAAAATTCTTCAGTTCACTCCACATCTTCAGTATTATTTATGGCCCGTTCGCAGTTAACGTAAAGAGAGGCCAGGTGATGCCAGATCTGAGCCTTTGTACACCACTTGGTTTGATGGAAACGTCTGCAAAAGGGACTTCTTTTAATCAGCAGTTCATCAGGCTGAAGATGAAACGTACCAGTTTCCCAGAGAAATACAGAAGCTATAAGAGGAGATGAATGTTGAATAGTAGATTTAGATTTTCCCAGGACTTTATTACCAACACATCAATGTGGCTATTAGTTACACGATGTTTAATTCAACATGGTTGCCAAAATGAAGCAAACTGTAAATTGCTGTTTTTGACTCATCTAATTAATTATATCAAACTTTCTGGATAAGACTCATTCGGGCTTATAGATACTTTCAGCAGCAAATTTGTAACTATGTAATGGAATTGACTAAAAATCAGTTTGACACACAGGAGGAGGATGGTTCCCTCACCGCTGCAGCAGATGGTTGTATGTTCTCCAACGTATGAGCACCCAGAGAGCCCAGAGCTTTATTTTGGAGCAGAAGCCCGTCATCGTCCTCTGGAGGTTTCCAAATGTACTGCTCTCCGTTGCCCATAAACATCACTTCCTGCCAGTAGAACAACAAACTACATTTAGGGCAAAGTTAAACATGTGTTCAAAAGAGCCTTTTAATACAATAAAAGCTTAAGTGTTAAATGTTAGCTGCTTTTTCATGCAGCATTGAACAGAAGTTCCCTGAAAGGAGGAGCCTGTGATGAAGCAGGTGCTTTTATTGTGGATGACTCAAATTTCAGCTGGTTGCATCATCCACAAGCACATCAGTGAACAGACCTGCAAACACATGTAAGTATCTGAACTGTGTGTGTAAACGAACTCAGGTCACAGCAGATAGCGCGACCTTGTTGACCCCACACAGTGCAGCAAATGGTCTCCCATGGTCACCTGGAGGGAAGCAGAGGGTCTTCCATTCACAGTCATACCAGACACTCATCCCACACTCCTGCTGCTGTGAGCATATGGAGGAGGTGACACTGCTGAGAGCAGAAATGCCCCCATTATCACCAAGAAATACTCCGCCAATAAACACCGCTCGTTGCCTGCATTTCAAAGATGTTTTGCAGAAGTGCCAGCATATCAGAACACCTCACAGAGTCAAGCGCAGGGGAAGCTGCAACACTGGCACAATTAAAGCCATGCAGATGCTCTGCAGCAACAATGATGACAACCACAAGAACCGGGCCTGAAAAAACAAATCTTACACTGAGCTACTTGTACATGTCACTCATTTGTGTCTTTTAAAGCTCTTCTTCTCTGTCCCTCTTTGAAAACACTAACAGCACACTCAAAAGTTCATGTCTTGTCCTCCTCCAGTCTACATCCCATGACTTCCTCCAAGCATCAACAGACCAAGCAGGAGATGCCGCCCATATTTATCCTTCTTGTTTGCAAAGGAAATACTTTTGATACTTATAGGTCTACAATTCTCTCTTTTTTTTTTAACCGTGTCCTGTCTGGCTGTGAAGCAAGCAGAATTGAGGTCTGAATGCTCGTAACAAGCCTTACAGATTTACTCTCAGGTGGAGCATCAAAGCGTCTGCTTTAAATGTCACGCCTGATACTTCAAATTTTATTGTTATTGTTTTTTAATTCTTTGTAATTCCGACCAGACACGGAGACAGAGGTGAAAGAGAAAGGAAAAGACAAATGGTGGGAAGAGAGAGGGGGGTGGGCTCCACAAAAATAAACAATAATGAACAAGAGTCTGCTTCTAGACCTGCAGAAAGAGAAGAGCAAAAAAAAATGGGACACACAACAATACATCAGGAGCAAGCTATCACTGCGTCAACGTGATGATGAAATATAAAATCAACATTGTTTAACTGAACAATCACACGATAATAAATCACAGTGCATTTAGTGGCAACGACAGCCTTGAGACAAGTGTTGAACGTGCCTAAGCCCATACTTTTGAGAGCACCATGTGAGCACCTGTGTGTGTACACGCGCTTGTTTACGTAAGGTTTCTCTATAGGAGCGTCCAATAGAGAGTGTGAGGGACCACAGATCTGCCCCCAAAGATGCGTAGGAGACGGGGGGAGCTCCAAGTCCCAGAGATCCAGGCGCTGCCCCAGAATACAGGAACCCCAAGGGGACCGCAACCAGAAAGGCCCCCCCGCCCCCCTCGAGAGGCGCAGAGGATCGCCCCGGGGGGCCACAACCAGCAGCCGGCAGAGCCCTGGGAGATATCAGCGGCAAGCCCACAGGCCCGCCCGCAGCCTCCCATCCCCTAGCCGGCCGAGCCCGGGACCCAGCGACCCGGGACCCAGGGGCGACCACCCCTGCTGAGGACCCAGCAGAGCCCAGGGACCCAGACCCCACCAGGCAGCCACTGGTGGTGGAGGCCTAGAATTCTCTGAAGGAATTCATATCATCTTCTGCATTTCATGCCAAGGTTTTCAAATAAAACTGGTTTATTATGACAAATGATAAAAATGTGGCCATCTTGGCCAAATCTTACTAAATTACCTCAGGCCATATTTTGTTATATCAAATATGATCAGACAATGTGACTCAGCTTACATCAAATTTAAGCTGAGCTTTAGTGAAACTGTCATGGCCGTTCATATGAGGTTGATCAGCCAGGGTGGCCATCTTGAACTGAGTTGACTCTGAGTTAAGATATGTTATAGATCAGCGTCTACTATTTCTTCTTATCTGCTCAGTAGCAAACACAGAATAAAACTTTTTTCACTCACACCTTGTCTTTTTGAAGTTTGCAATAACTAAGCACTTTTATCAGTGGCGCCCCCAGAAAACTTTTATAAGGGTGGTTCTGGCCCCCCTTTTGTCGCCCCCTTGAGTGCACAGCTGACTTTTAGTCTCATATTTTTCCATTTTCTTGCCTTACCTTAAGATATATTTGTTTAAATTTTAACAAATACAAATGCTACATTATAAGCATTGAAAAAGAAAACCCTCCCATTGGTTTATTTTCCACAGACATCAGTGTGTCTATATCAAAGCAAAAACGGCACCGTGATTGAGAGAATTCTCCTGAATGGCAGGTCAAGACATGGATCTGGAGCAGGACAAGATAACAGCTTTTAAAGAGTGTGACAGCCGTGATCACTCTGAGAAGTGAAAGAACCTCAGAGCGCAGCACTCCATCAGCCAGGCATTCACAGGTTTAACAGACACTGTTGCTCGCTAAAAGGCACAACATGGCCTGCTGGGAGTTTGCCCGAAGGGCACCTACATCACTTTCAGATCATGAGATGCAAAATCTTAAGATTTTATGTAACAACACTAGTTTTTCAGAATTCCTGGCAGCGTGAATCAGGACAAAAAATAAGTAGTATGTGATTGAAACCAATTCTACAGTCAACCAGGGTGATGTGTCATTATCCTGAGCTGGAGAACTAGTTACTGGGAATAATGTGACCAGAATCTAAATGTGGAGACAGGAGATCTTCTCCTGAGAGATCAGAAAACGACCCATTCCAACAAATGGAAGGAAGACTGCTCCAAGCTTTTGGAGATTATTTCCTACGGGACTAAGACTGCAACTCCTGTCACTTTAACAGAGTCAAGAATAACAGAATCAAACTGAATGTGTAATAATACTTTGTGTATGATGTTTCCCCATATGGAGCTATAATATGCTGGTTACTAAAATCATTTCATTGGTCAAATTCAACAAAACACTGAAAAAATTACAGGTATGCCAACAAGCTACTGCTGTCACACAGAAGAACGAGTTTATGAAAGACGGTCAGTATTACCAACCTTTGGGAATGATGGGACATTAAAGGCCTCAATGTTTCTACGAGGCAACTTCGTGCTGTGGGGGTGTGGCGGAGGAGGGGCTGGGTGTGAAGGCGGGGCGTGTCGGGGAGGCGGCGCCGGCGGTTCTGCCATGTCCGTCCCGCTGTCCCTCTTCTGAGGTGCCTTGTCAGCCTTCCTCAGCTTCCTGACGCAGGCGTACTCTGCAGTCTCCGGAGGATGTGGGGCAGACACGACCTGGGCCTCAGATTCAGGCAGCCCTTCTTCCACGTCCCCGTCTGGGTCTGGAGGCGCCGGGGTGTTGGCAGGAACGGCCGGAGGGGCCGGAGTGTCCGTCTGCCCGGCCCTGCCTACCATGGCGTAGAGGGCATCGTCAGTACGTGTAGTGGAGGGGCGCTGGCCCACTTCAGAGTAAGTGTGCTCGCTGTCCTCTCCAGTCCCAGAGGGGATCTGGGGAAGCTTCCTGCCTTGAGAATGGAGGTCAGAGTTAGACCGACGGCTGGGCAGCAGCAGAAGGTCCATGCTGGCTGGATGTTTCTTTTTAGATGCTTTTGCACGACACATACAGCCTGCTGTTCTACTGCCTGTGCTGCTAACACCTCCACAAAACAGAAGTCACATCATTTAGGTGCTCTCCCCCGGTGCAGGAAAATTAACGTTTACTGGGAAGAGAAATAAAATCTAAAAATGACAGAAAATGGGAACCAACATGATGTTTGAGAGTGTGGATCCAAGCTGGCTCTGTAGCACTGCAGAGGAAACCAGACAGGAGTTAAACAGGACTTTTGTTTATGTGTCCTTAAAGCCTGCCGGGCTTGTGTCACTTCTCCCTGTTGACTGCAGGTGATTCATTCTGGCGCTCTTCTTCGTGTCTTTGAAAGAGAAAGATTCATAAATCAAATCTGAACACTTGAGTGGAATAACGATAAACTGTAAGTGTGATGTGAATTCTGTTTCAGAGTGGATTTACTCCTTTTCGTGTCTTTAGATTTGATCACACGGTGTCGTGTTCTGTGTCCCTTTGGTCCCCAGCCCCCTCCAGGTGTCCCCTCACGTTCTGTGTCCTTGTAGCCCCCAGCCCTTTTTGTCCCCAGCTCCCTCCAGGTTTTCCTTGTCTTCTCTTAGTCTCCTCACTGTAGTTTCTATAGGTTTATTATTTCAGTTCCTTAGTCTCCTTTATGGGCCATTCCCATCTGTACCGGGTCGGCCCGGGCCGGGTAGCGTAGGTTGTTAACATATCTGGGTGGCCTGGTATTTTTCCGGGCCAACCAAGGCTCATTCTCAGCCCTCTTCTCGAGGGGGTCTGCTTCAGGCCGACCAGGGCCAACACACCCACTGCTGACAGCAAATTCACACCTTCCATTAGAGCAAGCCTCTGATTGGTGGGTAGAATCAGCCCACATGGGCTTAAGGCAAGGATGTGTGGAATCAACCGGGCCAGGCTGGGGCTGACTGGGACTACCCGGCCCGGGCCGACCCGGTACAGATGGGAATGGCCCATAAGTGTGTGTGTTCCCTTCCCCAGTTAGGTCTGGTTTCCTCCCCTGCTCCGCTCTGCTCCTCCTCTCTGTTATTAGTTTCACCTGTACCCAGTTCCCCACGCACCTGCTCCTCGTCTCCTATCACCCCAGCCCTGTGTATATAACCCTGTCATTCTCCAGTGTTTGTCGGTTCATTGTCTTTGTCAGCGTTGTTGTTTCCCTTTCCCCTCTCTAGTAAACTATAGGATCTGGCTCATGAGTGAGCTTTTGTCTTCGACTTGGAACGTTAGGTTTTTTGACCTCGAGTCCTACAGTCTTTGTTTTTGAGTTGATATATATTTTTTTAATTTTAACGACCTCTCCAGCCTTGAGTACTGTGGTGTTCTGTGTCTTGGGTCCAATCCTCCTGCGCTCGCAGCGTGACACACGGAAGATTTCAAGTGAATCGGGCCGGATTAGAAACGTAATAATAAAAAATGTCAAACTTGAAATCATTTTGTGTTTTTAAATTAGGGCAGATTGATAAAAATATTTTAAAAGCATCCCAGAATTTATATTATAAAGCATGTTTAGTGCTGCAGAATAGGGTAAAAAAGCAAAAGACAAACACCGTTCCAGGTCCTGTTGGGTTCCTTTAGACCAGGGGTCCTCGAGGGTCGCTGTTGAGCAGGTTTTAGTTGTTTCTCTGCTTACGCACACCTGGTTTGAAACTACTGGTGGTTAACAAGCTGCTGCAGAACCTGATATGCTGCTGAACAGGTGATTCATTCAGACCAGGAATCAGGTGTGTTGGAGCAGGGAAACAACTAAAATCTGCTGGATTGCGGCCCTCGAGGACCAGGATTGTCTACCCCTGCTTTAGACAACAATCAGCTGGTTTTTACACATCAGGAATAATAATGAGGAGGAGATACACTCACTTTTGCCATTGCAGTTCATCTTGTTCATCTCAGTGTCTGATTTACTGATGGAGCGCAGCTTTGACTGCCTGAGAATACCCTGATAACACACACACACACACACACACACACACACACACACACACATAGGGCCAGTTAAATTCTAATTAAGACTGAAGCAATGTACTCTGCGTGATTTAGCTCCCTGGAGAATGGAGTTTCTTCATTTACTACAACACAAGCACAAGAGGAAGGCTGATGTTTACCATGTCCATGAGACGATGCTTTCCACCTTCGCTGGGGACATTTTGTGTCTTTGCCTTCCTGTGATAAACACACACAATTGTGTCAAACAGGATGCACAACCAATGCCCCTGCATCTGACCCAAGCCACCAACATGAAGCCTGCAAGTTTATTTGCACATATGAAACAGCATAGGCGTGTTGTGTCATGATTGTTGAGAAATAAATGGGTCACGGTTAAGGATATTATCACAAAAAAATTAAGAATTTATAGTAAATGTGCAAAGATGTTCTCATAATCTGTAATTATTGAACAAACAGTCATGCCAGCAGCACCAGTGGTTTCCAGCTGTTTTCAGGACTGTTTAATTAAACAAATGTGTAACAAATTGCTACGGTCTGCAGGACAAAGCCTGGACCACCCAGTATTGATCCTAGTCTGTTTTGACCTGCAGAAAGTGACAATAGCATGTGTATTTTTTAGACGGGGTTTTAAAGAACATTTCACTGGCTGTCAAAAGACATATGTGAAACAAAGAACCTTGTGTTTTCTTAGTTGTATGAAATGAGTTAGCAGACTCATCCCAACAACAAGAACCGATGAGGGAAACTGATCAAAAACACCTCAGGGCAACAGCAGGCTAAGAGTGATGAATCCATATTAGCTCTGACTGAACAAATAAAAGTTCTTTATACATTTTGATTCATAACCTGTAAAACTGGGAACGTGCATGGTGTCCCGTAGTATTCCTAAATGCCTGAGCTAATTAGCATGTGCTCTTTTTATTTATTTATTTACTTACATTTCAAAAAAAGCAGATAATCTAAGAGACATTTGTGAAAAATCCCTGGACCAAATATTTGGTTAGGGTTAGGTGTGTGTGTGTGTGTGTGTGTGTGTGTGTGTGTGTGTGTGTGTGTGTGTGTGTGTGTGTGTGTGTGTGTGTGTGTGTGTGTGTGTGTCCCTAAATGTGTATATGGTGTTGCTCTCACCTCTGGCAGCCCACGCAGAGCACCACGATGAGGATGGTAACAACAAAGGCCGAGGCAGCAGCGATAGCGCCCAGCAGCAGGACCTTGCCGTAGGGAGGAGCCGTGAAGTTCAGCCCGTCCTGCATGGAGGCCATGTGGGAGCGCTAACGCTCACTTGCTCTCTCTCTCTCTCACACACCCACACCCACACACACACACACACTCACACACACACACTCATGCACGCAGGGAAGTGCCACTGTCTCACTGGGATCTGTAGGCACAGAGAGGTGCTTAATTACAAAACTATCTGACCTTTATAAAACATTAAAAAAGTTACCAAAGCTGTGGACGCAGAAGTAAAAATATTCACAGCTCAGAAGGCAGAATGACTGCATTGGTTAGAAAAGAGAAAGACGGTGTGAATTCCCATCTAATGCAGGATCAGTGAAGTGAGCAGACATCATGCCTGCGGCATGTGCTTCTGCTTTAGCTTGTTTCAGGGATTACCCAGCTTTGTGTGTCGCGGCTGCACAGGCATCAACAGCCCACCTGCTCACAAGCACTGATGTCCATGTTTCTTTATAGTCAGAGAAACTGTAGTTAACTGTGGAACAGAAAGCTGAAGACAATAAACTCAACAACTTTTTAATCCCTATAACCAAACCAGGAAACAAGTCAAGTTGTGTTTATTGGTAAGATTCCACCGTGGATCTGTTTGTGACGTAGCTGTTACTGCACATGTGTAAATACATATTTCCCATATTTGAACTGCTCTGAAAACAACAAACACAAACAAACATTCTGGGGAGATGCAATGAGTCAGAGCCAAGCCGAACGCGCCAGCAGGCAGACAAACCTGAAACACTGAAGGAGACAAGTGTGAAAGCCGAATCAGCACACAGAAACATTTCTCCTTCTTCGTCTCCTCTCTTTGCTGCTTGCCAGACAGTTTCACATTTGGCACTTGATGTCTTTTAAATAAACAATAAAAACACAGAGCTACACCAAACAAGCAAGGCTAATCTCTGTAAAATCATGCCATCTGTCTACAGTGGAAATGTGTTCTTGTGTGTGTGTTTCTGTATGTGTGTGTGTGTGTGTGTGTGCGCGTGCGCGCGCGAGCACTCGTGCACGTGTGTGTGTGTGTGTACTTGTTTTCTTGCATATTCACTAACCTTCTGGAGACAATGGGCCTTATACGGAACTAAGCCTGGTCGTAATGCGGCAGACTCCTTTTTAGACTTTGGGGGCTTTAGAGGTAACGTGTGAATTCAGTTTCTGTTACAGTCAGGTTTGGAGTACATTGGGTTAGGCATACATGCATCACTAAAATGCATGAGTCATTACAAGGCCCTAATATGGGTAGAAAAACAAACCTGTGTGTGTGTGTGTGTGTGCACGCACGCGCACGCGCACACACACACGCACGCACACACACACTCAGCAGAAACTTTCTATTTATTGCCCATCACTAATATATATATACACTCAAGCTTGCCTTAGGGATGAGTTCCTGCTACAAGACAACAGAAAAGGATCCCCCTCATTGCTACAAAGGCCTCAACCTTTGTTCTGAGATGTCTCTGTGTCTATAAAAAACAAGGTGGGTTTTGCATTATGTCCTTATTACAGCTACTTTAAACTAAAGTAAGCTGTATCAGAGTGTGTTGGTTCTGTGATAGACTGGAAACCTGGTTGCTTCTCAACCACTGATACCAACCCCCTTGTGACTCTCGACAGGATTAAACATTTTTACAAGAAATAGAAAGAACAAAAGAGACTAATATAGATCTCCAAAAATATCCTTCCTGTTCTGATCTAATAATTGTTAGTTCTCATGAATTAACCAGATCTGAAAATAAAAACTGAGCAGTCCCATTTAAAGAAACAATGGTGCAATAACGCTTTATTGAAGACAGACTTTTCTCAAACCCTAAGTGCCCTAATTACCTTCATTTGCTCATGAATATCTAACCCCAAATGACTCTATGTTTAAAACACTAGTGTTTTTCAATGGCAAAAACTAAATTGTCTTTATAGTGTCAACTTCAGTCACTCCTGATCAGTGGCCTGTTTGGCTTTGAAAAATGATTCCATAAATAAACATAAAACAAAAACGTTTCATCTGATAGACATGTGACTGTTCAGCTCCTCCTTCTTGTCAAGCTTCGGCCATTTGAAGCTACACATAAACCTAGATGAATAATTGCTCCACTCGTTGCTGTAAAGCAGCATCTAGGGCCCGTCTAACAAAGAGGGGTTGACATAATGTTTATGATGAAAAGGCAGAATTAAATCTGGACACATGAATGTCTAATTTAGCATTTCACTGGAGCAACTTGAGCCTGAGAGAGTATTACTACAAAATAAACTAGAGGCTGCAATGAGAAGGTTGTTGGTTCAGATCCTGGCTGTGGCTCTTCTGCGTGGGGTTGGCATGTTCTCTCTATGCGCATACGGGATAGTGTGAGACTGGTTGTTTATCTCTGTGTCCCTGTGCTGGTAACTAGTAACCTCAAGCTGCTATTCTGGAGCTAACAATCAGCTGCCTGTGAGGAAATGTGGTTAAGAAAATAGGTGCATGAGCAAGTGAGTGTGTGGATGACTGAAGAAGTTCAACATTGTTTTTGATGTGTGGTTCAACAGAATACCTTTGAATAATTCATAAATTCTAGAAAAAATACTGAAATACTTTTCATAATATTGAAGGGGGGGGGGGGTGTTCTGTTTAGTAATGATTACATCATGTTAAGCATAAAGTTAAGCTGTTGTTATTTATTTATTTAAGTTTATTAATGCTTATTAGTGCTATTGATATTTCAATAATAAAGTAACATTGATAAGGAGACCCCTACTGTAAAATGTTACCAAGTGATGAAACTGACCTTGACAACAGTGATCCTAATGATTCCTAGATTTGGAAGGATGTGACCATTAAGTGTGTGTGTGTGTGTGTGTGTGTGTGTGTGTGTGTGTGTGTGTGTGTGTGTGTGTGTGTGTGTGTGTGTGTGTGTGTGTGTGTGTGTGTGTGTGTGTGTGTGTGTGTGTGTGTGTGTGTGTGTGTGTGTTAGCAGCTCGATTCTTCAACAGAGAATCTCGGGGTCATTTACATTTGAGCAGTTGGGAGAGAGGAGGAGGGCCCATCAGGGAGTGTGAGACTTGGTGCCGCATGATGGACCAGGCATTCGACAATCGCTGAGTGAGCCAGTTTGACAGCCAAGCCACCAGGAAATGTGCCGATGGCCAGTCTGCCACTGCCAAAGGGACTTGATGAAATGTTGAAGTGTCTTCAATCCTGTAATCAGTCACTATGTCTGTTAACGGCTGAAAAAGTAGCCACGTGCTGTTTGGTATCAGGGTGTGTACCACTGAACATGGACCAGAGGTAAGGGTACAGTTGTCTCTAGAGATTAAAAAGACTATTATCTACCAGCGTGTTGACAGTAATGGCAAGAAGACCATCCCCAAGCAGCTGAAGGCTAGAACAGGGGTATTCAATTCCAGTACTGGAAGGCTGATATACGTCACGGTTTAGTGGTGTTGAAGCAGGGTTAAAACTAAAATGTGCTGGATACTGGCCCTCTAAGCCTGGAATTGAATATCCCAGGACTAGAAGACCAGCAGCTGAAGGCTAGAAGACCATCTCCAAGCAGCTGATGATTATCTCCAAGCAGCTAAAGATTAGAAGACCATCTACAAGCAGCTAAAGATTAGAAGACCATCTACAAGCAGCGGAAGGTTAGAAGACCATCTCCAAGCAGCTGAAGGCTAGAAGATCATCTCCAAGCAGCTAAAGATTAAAAGATCAGCTCTAAACAGTTGAAGATAAAAAGATCATCTCCAAGCAGCTGACGATTATCTCCAAGCAGCTAAAGATTAGAAGACCATCTACAAGCAGCTGAAGGCTAGACGACCATCCCCAAGCAGCTGACGATCATCTCCAAGCAGCTAAAGATTAGAAGACCATCTACAAGCAGCTGAAGGCTAGAAGACCATCTCCAAGCAGCTGACGATCATCTCCAAGCAGCTAAAGATTAGAAGACCATCTCCAAGCAGCTGGAGGCTAGAAGACCATCTCCAAGCAGCTGAAGGCTAGACGACCATCCCCAAGCAGCTGACGATCATCTCCAAGCAGTTAAAGATTAGAAGACCATCTACAAGCAGCTGGAGGCTAGAAGACCATCTCCAAGCAGCTGACAATCATCTCCAAGCAGCTAAAGATTAGAAGACCATCTACAAGCAGCTGAAGGCTAGAAGACCATCTCCAAGCAGCTGACGATCATCTCCAAGCAGCTAAAGATTAGAAGACCATCTACAAGCAGCTGAAGGCTAGAAGACCATCTCCAAGCAGCTGACGATCATCTCCAAGCAGCTAAAGATTAGAAGACCATCTACAAGCAGCTGAAGGCTAGAAGACCATCTCCAAGCAGCTGACGATCATCTCCAAGCAGCTAAAGATTAGAAGACCATCTACAAGCAGCTGAAGGCTAGAAGACCATCTCCAAGCAGCTGACGATCATCTCCAAGCAGCTAAAGATTAGAAGACCATCTACAAGCAGCTGAAGGCTAGAAGACCATCTCCAAGCAGCTGACAATCATCTCCAAGCAGCTGAAGGCTAGAAGACCATCTCCAAGCAGCTGACAATCATCTCCAAGCAGCTAAAGATTAGAAGACCATCTACAAGCAGCTGAAGGCTAGAAGACCATATACAAGCAGCTGAAGATTAGAAGATCATCTCTAAACAGTTGAAGGTTAGAAGATCATCTCCAAGCAGCTGAAAGCTAGAAGACCATCTCCAAGCAGTGTGATGTTCCTCTGACTACCGTTGTCATGGTCTGTGTCTCCGTCTTACCTCATGTGTCTCCTTTTGTCCTCATTTGTCTCTAGGTGCTCCTTTTGTGTCTTCTAGCGCCCTCATGTGTCGTGTCTGCGTCTTCCTCATGTGTCTCCTGGTGTTCCCCATTTGCCCTCTAGGTTTCCCTCCTCAGACTTTCCTCTCCCAGGTCCTGTGCTCTCTTGGCCCCTCTTAGCCACGCCCCTGTAGTTTCTTTCTGTAGTGTTTTCCTTTAGTGCCAGCTTCCCCTTAGAATATTAGTTATGGTTCATGCCTTCTGGTCTTTTGTTTTTCTCTTTGGTCATTTTCCTTTGTTACAGCCTTTCATTATTTAGTGTGTTTTTCCCCACCAGTGTTTTCTTCCTCCTCCCTGAGTTAGTATTTGTGTTCACCTGTCCTCTCCCCACACACCTGCAATTCATCTCCCTCTCATCTT